CCATGTTATAGCCACACAATAATCACCATTAAATCCCAATTATCCCAATAATCCCATAATCATGATATATCGTATATGGATAAAGCCACTATATATCACATATCAATATCCCAATAATCCCAATTATCCATATACCATATATCAATGTTAGTATCCCAATAATCAGTGGCTGGTTAAAGCCATATACCATATATCTTAATAATATAGTGGTTAATAGTGGTTAATACCATGCCTCTACCATATATTAACCAGCCATATACCATATCCATATACCATATATCCCAATGTTAGTGGCTGGTTAAAGCCATTCAATCACAATTTTAAATGTTTTCCGTTGCTTAGATCCCTTTTTTGTTGCTAGTTGAACCCAGTGAAACGTACACAAAAATCCTACAAAAAACTTCCATTCATTGGCATTAAATCGTCATTTTCTTGGTTCAATCATCATGAATTCGCATGAAATCTCCATGTTTCTTGATGAAACCCATGGAAATAAATCCCACAAATTTCCCATGGAAATCCCGTAAAATTCCGTAAAATTCCCATAAAATACCAATTTTTCAAATCCTATTCAAAGCCCATGAAATCCCCATTGTTGGTGCTTGAAATCCAATGAGATCACATTATTGTTCGGCAGTAGGTTGGACGAGGCTATGAGGAGCACAGCATGGCGCAGGGGGAGGAAGTGAGTTAAAAGGAAGTTGATGATACTAACATTGATATATGGTATATGGATGTATATGGTGCTATTGTTGGTATATGGTAAAAAGAAATACCATTGGTGTATACGGTAAATTTGTTATGGTAATAATCATATATGGTATAAGTATAACCATTGCATTAGTGAGTTCATGATACTAAAAGTTATAGTTGATGATACTAACATTGGTAATATCTGGTTGGTGGTTTGGAACATGTTTTATGGTTCATATGTGTTTTTTTCTGGTTGATGGTTTGATATATGGTATATGGTAATATTGTTATGGTAATAACGATATATGGTGATATTGTTGGTATATGGATTCATGTTGGATAGGTTGGGACGGGTGATAATTAAACTGACTGTAGAACTAGGATGCCCTTCCTGTAACATCATTGGTATATGGTAATATTGCCGTGGTAATAATGGTATATGGTGCTATAGGGCATTAAAAAAGCCTGGGTTATTGGGGATGATTATAAACCAAAGGGAAATCTACCAACCAAGTAGTAAACTGGTTGGTGGTTTGGAGCATTTTTATTTTTCCATATATTGGGAATTTCATCATCCCAACTGACTTTTATATTTTTCACAGGGTTTGAAACCACGAACTAGATATGATTGGTATATATGATGCTATTGTATCTCAACAATGATATAAACAATGATATTTGGTAATATTAAAGGGTAGTAAATACATGGAAATATATTGTGTCATATATGTATATATTTTCATATTTATATATAGGCATATATATATACAGATATATATATACATAAATATATATATATACATATATATATACATATATATTTATACATATATATATACATATATATATATATTTAAATATATATATATATTTATTTATTTATATATATATATACATATATATATATTTATTTATATACATATATATATACATATGTGGGTTTCCACCAATGGGGGATCCTCCAAATGGTTGATTTATAATGGAAGATTCGTTTAAAATGAACGATTTAGGGGTACCATCATTTTAGGAAACTTCCATATTGTATCACATACACTGGTAATATTCTTGGTTATTGGTAAATGGTAAAATCCCAATATAATGGTACAGTATACACCACTAAATATTAGATACTATACCACTAACATTGATAATTTGTTTCAGGTTAGTGAATGATTGTAATTTGCCCGGGAATATTGCATCGAAACAATGGTATAAACAATGATATTTGGTAACATTGTTACGAAGATGCATGATATTTAAATCTATTTAGTAACTACTGTTAAATGTTAAACACTCAACTGTTACTAAATATCATTGAGTATGTTAGTGACAGGGAATTGGTAACAGTTGTATCATTGATACTAAATGAGTTACTAAATCAGTAATACAGGATTTGGTTCATACTAGGTTCATACTAAAATTGGATTCAATTAATGCTAACAGAAACTGACATCAAATGCTACTAAATCACTACGCTAATTGACTAATTGAATCAAATTCAATGTTTTTCCCCACCTGCCAGGTGAGGGTTGTTAGATTTTATGTCAGTTGCCTCCTCCTGCCTCCTCCTGCCTCCTCCTGCCTCCTCCTGCCTCCTGCCTCGTCCTCCTCCTCCTCCTCCTCTCCTCCTCTCCTCCTCGTCCTCTCTTGTCATCCTTCCTCGTCCTCGTCGTCCTCGTCGTCCTCGTCGTCCTCCTCCAACAACTGCGACCCGCGATCCACAGTGTTCTCTGCCGGACCTCAACCACGACCATCCACGCCCAGTGTTCCCTGCCGGACCTCAACCACGACCATCCACGCCCAGTGTTCCCTGCCGGACCTCAACCACGACCATCCACGCCCAGTGTTCCCTGCCGGACCTCATGTAGGAAGATAAAATGTCAGATAGAGTGCCAGAAGATTTGCCAGGTAGAATGCCAGAAAATATGCCAGAAGATATGCCAGATAGATATGCCAGAAGATATTCCAGAAGATATGCCAGATAGAATGCCAGAAGATATGTCAGAATATATGCCAGAAGATATGTCAGATAGAATGCCAGAAGATATGTCAGATAGAATGCCAGAAGATATGCCAGATAGAATGCCAGAAGATTTGCCAGATAGAATGCCAGAAGATATGCCAGATAGAATGCCAAATAGAATGTCAGAAGATATGTCAGATAGAATGCCAGAAGATGTGCCAGTAAGAACATGTATAAATATGTATAAATGTCATGGTGGGGATCACACGAAGTAAAGTAATTTAAAACTATGTAGAGTCATCCTGGAGTAGACACAAAACAACTGTCTAGAATGGGAATCATGTTGAAAAATCCATACTGATATGCTGTATATACTTCAGGATAACCACACATATAACTATATATATATATACACATACACATAGAGGTCAGTAAATGGCTACTAGAGAGTCAATACCTTGACAAGATTGGTTCATGTATGGTTCAGATCAATATATTGCTGGTATTTGAGGTTCTTGACATATTTGCTTACACAACCGTACTGGCTGCTTGTTTGAAAGGGACTTTTTTTGGTTGCTGAGTGACCATGTCAAGGCTTACAGTAAGTGAACATAGGATAAAATGGTTGCTCTGAAGGAGGTCCCCAATCTATATCCCATGTTCGACCTCTGAATCAACATTTTATCGGGTGGTTACATGAAGTTAGTCCCCAACAATAACCATCCCATGATTAAAAAAAAATATCACCTCAGAATCCGCTAATCCAAAGTTGGAGATGTTAAACGATGGCCTCGGCAGGTTGGAATCCGGTTGGAAGCTGTGTGAACTAACCACCATTTGGAGGTTTCCAACTGGGGGATTCCCCTTTAGGATGGGCTTCTAAGATTGGAAAATCATGGTAAATAATGGAATAATAATGGAACAATCATGGAATTATGAACCATATGGATTAATATTGGGAAAATAATGGGATAATAATGTGAATATTGGAATTACACTCTGGTTATTTAACATAGCCATGGAAAATTCCCATTTAAATGGAGGTTTCTAGCTGGGAAAATCTATGTTAAATAACCAGAGGGTAAATTTGATGATTTAGGGGTATCTCTATGGTAGGAAACCACCATTCAATCAGTTGAAATTCGGTGATATTTCTACAGTTGAATGGGTGAACATAAACTATGTTGTAACTACAAGGTGGTGTTCCTTCGTTGTGTTGGATTTGTAACCCATTTAACTACAGTTATTTCATCATAAACCCAAGTTAGCATACTTGCATCAACCCACCTCGCTAACGAACTGGGGCGCCACCTTGTACAAAGTGTCCCCCAGGTATAAGTTGATTTAGATACCAATCCAACAGTATATATATATATCAGTATGTATATATATATATATATCCCTCATAAACCCTAGTTAGTACGTGATAAGTTAAGGTACCTATATAGAAAGTCCCACATTGTAGGGAGCCCCACGAGTTGTACCAGGGTTCACTCTGACCTTTAAGCGCCGCTGCGACTGGCCGCACTTGAGCTTCTCACAATCAACGGGATGGCCGCAAAAAGAAGTGCAATCCTGTGGTTAAAAACCCACAAACACAACTCAAACGCCCAGCTTTGTAGATATTTGTCTTCTAAAATTTTGGGATCATAGTAAAGCATCATGAATAAATAGCGGAATTCCAGTCCTACAATGTGAAGCCCCCAAGATAGCTAAGTTGCTTTACAACTCCAATAACTATGGTTTGTGATATTAATAACTAGGGTATTCATGGGGTTTATAAACCAATAAACATAACTGGGGTGGGGGGCACCACCTTAAGGAAAAGTTATATCAATTTATACATATCAATACATAACTGGGGTTTATATACCAATTTATAGGTATTGGACTCAAGGAAAAGTTGGTATCGCCGAAGAACTTCGCACCTGAAATCCGGGTACCAAGGGGGGAAGAAAAAATGTGCGCCCGCGCTGGAGTTTATAAACCCCATTCACATTATAAGTAATTTTCACATGGTTAACCGTAAGTTGATGGGGTTTATCATAAGGTTAACTTAAGATTCTTAAGATCACATAATGGTGTTAATCATGAGGTTAACCTTAAGATATCATTATAGTAATATCATGTAATACTTTGTTTAATATCATATAGTTTGTAACCCCATAATAACTACATATTACATGTTAATTATATGTTTATATGATCGCGAACCCCCTCTCAATCATACCCTTTGGTAATTCAACATAGCTATTGGAAATGACCATTTATAGTGAGTTTTCCCATTAAAAGTTGTGATTTTCCATAGTTATGTTAGTTTACCAGAGGGACCTTCAGATCTCTGCGTCAACCTGTCGCGACATTCGCCATGGCGGACACCTGGGAAGAGGAGCTGCGTCAGAAGCTGCGCTGTGGAGAGGCCATGGAAGCCATGAAGGCCGCCAAAACGGGGCAGGGCTTGGTGCAGTGTGAAGAAAAGATGGGAATTATTAGCCACTTTAGATGGGGATTATTATACATTTATTATCTATGGTTAAAAAGGACATCTATAAAATTATAGTGATATCATTATAGTGACATCCCCATCTATAGTAATTATTATCATAGTAATATCATGTAATAGCAATTCACTTTAGATGGGGATGTCATAGATGTCCTAAATTCCCATTGGTTGGTTGATGAAAATAGAGGGGGTTGAAGAAACCCCTTTAACAAAAGGTAAATGATGATAGAATGTATACCAAACCGGCCATCTATTTTTACCAAAAGGACATTATTGGATGTCATCTTACTGGTGCTAAAAGTAGGGAATGGATGGGTTGCTGGGGGTTGCTGGGATTATGATAGTTAGCCAGTGGATCATTCCCTCATTCCCTACTAAGCACAAGTAAGTCATTGGGATTTAGTGGGATTTGAGAGGGATTTAGTGGTATTTAATGGTATTTAGAGGGGTTTAATGAGATTCAGAGTGGTTTAATGGGATTTCAGGGGATTGAATTGAATGGATATTCACTAGAATGGCTAGCCCAAAAGAGGATAGAAAAGTTAACATCCTACTAAAATATAAAGATAAATATATTTTTTTTTACAAAAAACAACGCAGTATACTCACTAATGTCAAGCTGTTTAATTAGCGGGGTACCAGTTGAGTTGCAAATCCAACAGCAGGTTCCAGGTTTCCAGGAACCCCAGCATTGCACAGCTGTTGGGAACTATCTGCAGGTACCCCACGATCCTTGAATAACCAGGGTGTATCTTATTCCACGATTGACATTCTAGGTCTAGAGGTTGTAATATCCCAACTATAGCTGCTAGTGCCATGATTTCTTAACCGGATCAACTATAGTTGGGATATTACAACCACTTCTGGTGATATCCCAACTGTAATTTTACAATAATAAACCTGTTGCTGCACCCCCAAGTTGGGGTGCTTATATCCGTGGACGGAACTAGGAGAGAGAAATCTTGAATTTTGGCTAAGGTTATCTATTGATTAGTGACTATCCACGCGCTAACCGAACCCACAGAATTAAGATAAGGTTGAACAGGTAGGGTTGAAGATGAAGCCGGGTACGGCCGCATCAGCTTTAAACTTGGGGATTGAAGGCAGAAGAGATTGAAACTGTGAGATCGAGTCCTAGACAATGCAACGATATATGATTGAAACTGGAAAAAACTTGGATTTAACGCCATATTGGAATTTGCGAATAGAGAGTTGGAATTTAGCTGTGATTTTGTTTGACGGTGATGACATGACATGAATGAATTTACCAAACTTGTAGCCATATCATTGGCCGACCAGGATCATTGCATGGGGCTGTAAGAGGTGTATATAGGATTGTTTTCCCGCTGGAATTCATATGCTATATTAATCACATAATTATATACTTATCATCTACTGGTTGGTGGTTTCAATCATTTTCTATGTTCAATAATATATGGGCTAATCCGTCCCATTGACTATTATATATTTTTCAAGATGCTTAAAACCACCATCCAGATATACTTATCATCTAGTTAGCTCTTATATATATATATATATACTATATAGCTATAAGTTGAGGACCGAAAGGCATCAGTGTTTAGACGTCTACAACAATGTCTTTGATATTTCATAGTATCCTGGTTGTGTCCTCAACGCTAGAAGTATCGCTTTCTGTGTTGGGTTCGAGGAACGGGCCGAAGACTCGGAGTATAGCACTTCCGTATCATTTTTAATGTGGCTGGCAAAGGGGTTTGTCTGAAAACAGGGTACATTCCCAATTATAGCCATTTAGTAGGGATAATGATCAGCAAAACCATTGGCTTTAGGGGTACACTATTTTCAGACAAACCCAAATCTGTGAACTAAATGGAGATTTGATCATTTTCCCATTGGTTATGACTAACATAGTCATGGGAAATGGCCCATTGATAGAGGTTTACATGGCCTGTATGTAACAATGGTGATTTTCCATGGCTATGTTAGTCATAACCAGATGGAAATATTCTAAACATAGTGGATTTCTCATTGCCATGTTGGATTAGGGTACGGTAGTAGCAGTAGATCCAAGGACACCCCATGCCTACTTGATACCCCATGGTTCGTGGTCCAAGAAATATCCAACTTATCAGCTCATATATGGCCAGCATATAATTATATATATATATATATGGGTAAATTATAACGACCTCACTGCGACCTCACTGGAATCATGGTTAGTAAGGGGAATCATCCCCAAATGGCCTTAATTCAGGTTGGTGAAATATTATAATTTACCCATATATATATATATTTAGATACACACAGGTATTATTCATCTTTGTAGTTGCTGAATACTCGCAATATTCTTTTTCATAGGATTTTCAACCCCGGCACGTTTGTTTCAGAGAGTTTCAGCCAGAGATTTGGAGATATTTATTCACCACCGAGTACATCCGAGTGCAAAATCCTTGGCTTACCCTCTGGTAAACGTTTAATTACATAACTATGGAAAATCACCATCTTTAATGGGAAAATCCACTATAAGTGCCAATTTTAAATGGCTATGTTTGTTTACTGGTGGGTATTAATCAAGCAACGACCTTTATATTTTCCCACTATATTTTTGGCAAAAGATGCGCAAAAAAGAGGGATATTGACCAGGCAAAAGACAGGATAGGGTTGCGCGCAAGAGGTCGGGATAGAACATGATAGAACCTCGTAAATGCTAGAATATAGGAAGAAACCCAAAACAACATGAAACAACCATCCATTATATTCCCATGAAATCACCATAAACTCCCCCATGGTTGCTTATATCACCACTAAATCCATCTAAATCCCATAAAGTTCCCACCTGCTTCCCTTAAAATGTCAACCCCGGAGTAATAAACCCCGTTTACGGCTGTTTAATTGGGGGGTACCATAAAAAAGTATCATCTAAAGTGACTATTTGGAGGCTACCCCCACAATTTCTTCAACCATGGGCAGATGGCAGGTCCTCATGATGCAGATGCGAAGCTTCAGTGAAAAAGCATGTGTTCTTCAGCTCGGCATCGATACCAAGTGTGGTGACCCAGTACTGGGACGGACGAAAAAAGGCACCTGGATCCCCGGATCCCCCATGTTTGGTGAATTCCTAGAGGATGGGGCCCCCAGTCGATAGCTAAGGTGCCTTATAAGTGACTTAACTATGGCAAAAATGGCATATATATATAACTATAGTTAATTGGGGTTATTTTATGGTTTATAAACCAACAAACATAACTTATGGTTTATGGTAGATAGAACGAACTAGTTTTCATGGGGATTATCATGGTTTATACACCAACTTATAATTGGGGGGGGCCCAGCGGCCCATCATGTATCATTCCTGCAGATTGGATGTGTGGTTGAAACTGGTACCACCAAATCATCAGGCTTTTCCTTAGGGTTTCCTGTACAATGTGATGCCACCTAAACGTTATGTCTGTTGGTTTATAAACCTTATGAATACCATAGTTATTTGAGGATCATGAACCATAGTTCTTGGAGATATGTTCACCAACTTAGCTATCGCTCGGGGGCCCCACATTGTAGTTGTTCCCAACCTGCCAGGTGAGGGTTGTTAGATTTTATGAGAGCTGTTCTCCTCCTCCTCCGCCTCCGCATCCTCCTCCTCCTCCATCTCCTCCGCCTCCTCCTCCTCAGCCGGACCTCCACCGCGAGCGCCAGATCCCAGTGGGCACTGCCGGACCTGAACCGCGAGCTCCAGATCCCAGTCACTGCCGGACCTCAACCTCGAGTTGCAGATCGCAGTGGGCACTGCCGGACCTCAACCGCGACTTCCAGGTCGCAGTGGGCACTGCCGGACCTCAACCGTCAACCTCGGGCTCCAGATCCCAGTGGGCACTGCCGGACCTCAACCGTCAACCTCGAGCTCCAGATCCAAGTGGGCACTGCCGGACCTCAACCGCGACTTCCAGATCGCAGTGGGCACTGCCGGACCTCAACCGCGACTTCCAGATCGCAGTGGGCACTGCCGGACCTCAACCGCGACTTCCAGATCGCAGTGGGCACTGCCGGACCTCAACCGCGACTTCCAGATCGCAGTGGGCACTGCCGGACCTCAACGGGAAGAATGTCAGAAAAGATGTCAGATAGAATGTCAGAAGATATGCCAGATAGAATGCCAGAAAGAATGCCAGAAAGAATGTCAGAAGATATGCCAGACAGAATGTCAGAAGATATGCCAGAAAGAATGTCAGAAGATATGCCAGATAGAATGTCAGAAGATATGCCAGATAAAATGCCATGAGATATGCCAGATAGAATGCCAGAAGATATGCCAGATAGAATGCCAGAAGATATACCAGATAGAATGCCAGAAGGTATGCCAGATAGAATGCCAGAAGGTATGCCAAATAGAATGCCAGATAAAATGTCAGATAGAATGCCACAAAATATGCCAGATAGAATCCCAGAAGATTTGCCAGATAATATGCCAGAAGATATGCCAGATAGAATGCCAGAAGATTTGCCAGATAGAATGCCAGAAAATATGCCAGAAGATATGCCAGATAGATATGCCAGATAGATATGCCAGAAGATATGCCAGAAGATATGCCAGATAGAATGCCAGATAGAATGCCAGAAGATATGAATGTATAAATGCCAGAAGATATGCCAGATAGAATGTCAGATAGAATGCCAGAAGATTTGCCAGATAGAATGCCAGAAAATATGCCAGATAGATATGCCAGAAGATATGCCAGATAGAATGCCAGATAGAATGCCAGAAGATATGTCAGAAGTTTTGCCAGAAGATATGCCAGATAGAATGCCAGATAGAATGCCAGAAGATATGTCAGATAGAATGCCAGAAGATATGCCAGATAGAATGCCAAATAGAATGTCACAAGATATGTCAGATAGAATGCCAGAAGATTTGCCAGTAAGAAAATGTATAAATGCCATGGTGGGGATCATTCAAAGTGAAGTATTTTTTCCAATTGAAGATGCAGCAGACCTTAGCACAAGGAGCGTCTTGGGATTGCGATTAGGTGATGTTTTCCTCAATTAATAGAGGGCCTGAAGAGGTTTGTGCATGTGAGCTGCGTTTTGTAGGACTTGCCATGCTTTGTGGGTTCGGACTGTCCGTGCATGCAAAATTTGTTTTTCATTTCAGCATTGACATACATTGCTGGTATCCGAACAAATCTTCGGTCTCAGATGGATATGTTTGAAATTTAAGTGTATACTACTGTATAATATATGACCATAAATCGGGCAATTTTATTGGACATTTTTTTCTGAACACCATTGGATTTTGTGTCGTTTTCCCAACATGTTCAGACCCAGATCTGGTTGGATGTTGGGATGATTCCCCCAACCACCAGCATATCTTTCAGCGTTTCAGGGGGTAGGGTTGAAACCGCCAACCACTCAATGGATGCACAAATCTACGGGGATTGAACTGATTGAACCGCGGCTTCCTTACGGACCAAATTGGCTTGTTTGAGAATAGGGTACAGGATGGGGCCCCCCCAGTTATAAGTTTGTTGATATACCATGAAATAACCCCCATGAACTAGTTCGTTATATCTACCATTTTTACCATAGTTTTTTTCAGCCACTGAAATAACGCAACTGAACGCTATCTTAGGGGCCACAGGGCCCCAGCCTGTAGGTGAATCAGCTGCCGTATTTTTCCATGGCCATGACACCGGCCACGAAAGCCAGCAGGAGTTTCTACACAGACCCTGCAGGCAACGGCCCTTGGGAGCAGGGAAGCCAATGTGATGCCTAACGAATGGCCAGTAATGTCAACCCTGGATTAATAAACCCCAAACGGCTGTTCAATTGCGAGGGTACCATTTAAGTATCAGATTATGACTATTGGAGGAGTCCCCCCTAATGAATAAACAGGGTTCATTAATCCGGGGTTGACATTGCTCTCCACTGTCATCAATGGAAATGCTCATTTCTGGATGATTTTTTTCATATCAACCTCCATTTATAATCTTTTTATAGAGGATTTTATCATTGCCATGTTTGATTGCCGGAGGGTAAATTGAACAGAAAATGAAGTAACCATTCCAGGTTTTGATTGGCTCAATATCCTATACCTCCACAATTAATCCATAGCCAATTGGGCTAGTAAAGACCTCGGTCAATCGACTGGATGGTTAATACTTATAGTATGATTGTGTTTTGCTAGACATGGCTATACATGCTAACCGTGTTTTTTGGGCATGGTATCTAAGATTGGATCTGAAATAATTACCAATGAATAAGGCTATGGCAGGTATCATTGAGACTTTGCAGAGAGTCTTGTTCGCTTACGTCAAAGGTTCAGGAACCTAAAAAGAGCAGGTGGCCCAAAATGTCTTGAAATCTGGAGTCTTTGGATGATCCATACTTGGCAACCGGATTCGATTGCCCTCGAGTTTGCGGGTGCATCCCAGTCAATCAGTGGTCAATCACAGACACATAAGCAATGTATGAATGTCGGGGATTTCGCCTGTAACTCGTTTTGTAGCTAGGACATGCAGGCAAGGTGCTGCTTTAAATTTCCGAATCGGGGAAGCCATTTTGAGGATTCCTCATCGAGCAAATCCAACCACCCTGCCATCAGCAAAGCAAAGATGCTAAGCTTCGATGGGATATAGCTATAACTAATGATATAACTATATATAATAACTATGGTTTATAGCAAGTTTTTGGGACCATCAAAAACCCATGGGTCTTTTCTCCCATGGGAGACGTGTTTCATATTTGTTTCATGGGACGACTTTGGCCACCACGTCCAAGGTGACCTTTACTACTGCACTACTGCAGTGCTTGTTGGTGCTTGAGCCAAACCCAGCTGGGTGATGTTGCCTACCCTCTGGTAAACTAACATAGCTATGGAAAATCACCTTTTTTCATGGGAAAACTCACTATACATGACCATTTTCAATAGCTATGTTAGTTTACCAAAGGGTAAATGACCAGTTTCTGGTAAACGAAGAGAAAGATGTGGATATCACCCAGCTTTTTTATGATCACTAAATCCAGATTTTCCATATGGTGGCTTCTTAAAATGCTGGTACCAAAACATAGATTGTTGATAATTGAAAATCCGAAAATAACATGGATGATGATTGGGGGTAGCCCTATTTCAGGGTTTCCTCCATATCTATGTAGACATTTACCCTAGTGTATACCCTCTGGTAATTGAACAGTTTGCTATGGAAGCCATGGCCCATTTATAGATGGTTTTACCTATTAAAATGGTGATTTTCAGTAGCAAACTGTTAGTTTACCAGAGGGTATGATATGGGTTTGTCTGAAATATGTTGAATGGATCAGTGTTCATATCCACATTGTTTACCGTATGTTTAAATGTAGTTACCGTATGGTTTGTTATGTTATGTAGTTTCATATTATATGGCCATGTTCAAGTTCGCAAACTGTAACAAATTGCCAGGCCGGGTATATAGTTATATCATGTTATATCTACCATAAACCACAGAATTCCCATGATTACCAGATAAACTCAGATAAACCATATAATATTACCAGTACCATGTTTTGAAACGGGTTGAATCCCCATGGTTGATCTTCCCACCGCAGGATTCGGCTTGGCAATGAAGGAAGCTGGAGCCAGCATGGATGACATTCAAAGGCGGGGCTGTGCTGGGGTGGAATTGCGCCCCAAATGAGCTACGTTTTTTTTGTTTAATATAAAAGGGTTGATATAGAGGTTAAACTGGATGTTGCTTTTGGTGTGGTTTTACCTGGCGTAAGGATTGCGTAGGATTGGCGTAGGCATTTTTCAAGGTTCCAAATATCTTCTGGTTCGCGTAGGAAACATTTCATTGTATTTCAAATGCTCGTACATGATCGGCGTTGCAATCTCACGCTTTAAAATTGATTCAATGTTATCCACAAAAGGTTCAAAGGCACCGGGCTCATTCATGGTTCATTAATGATAAGTTTTATCAATAAACCAATATGGTTATGAACTGGTGGTTAATGATGGTTATTAATGGTCATTAACTGGTGGTTAATAATGGAGAATAATGATTAATTAGCCCCAAATGGAGATTCATAGTTGACATCCTATAAACATAATTATAGACCATGAAAAAATGCCCATTGCTCGGTCAATCTTACATGGATACAAACTAATCCTAACTAGTCTTTTGGTATGGGAATATCTACGTCACCAGCTAAGAATTTGTCATTTTTTGCAGGGTATCTAAGATTGGCAATGCAATAAACATGGAGATTCATAGTTGATTTGTGCTGGACAAGTTGGGATGTAACTAACTAGCACCAATATACTTGGAGATTTGGTAGTGGACGTTTTTTGTTGGTACTTAACTTAGGGGTGCGGCGCCCACTTATTAACGGGATCATTTACCTATGTATCGGTAACTTCTAGTGACCTCACAATGAGTGACCCCTCAAACTGTACGAAAAAATCAGATCCCTGAGAGAATCAACCATGTTCCCATCAGTTTCCCCTCTGAGAAATCACCATTTGCCCATGAACCAAACGCAAACATTCCGGTACCGGTACCGGTCCATTAAGCAAAACAAAGTGTTCTTTACCGGTCCATTAAGCAAAACCATAAAATTGTAAAGAAACTGTTTTCATACCATTTTGACATGCACCTTTTTCGTGCAAAAACATTTTTATGCCGGCCCAACAGCCAAACGCAAACATTCCGCTACCGGTCCATTAAGCAAAACAAAAGGTTCTGTTACAGGGTCAGTAAACAAAACAAAACAACAAGACACGTGGATGCAGAAAAACGAGCATTTCGTACGAGACTTCCTCCAATTTTGACATTTTTGACACATTATCAAACAGGTTGGAATGTCGCAAAGTGCCACGCCTGCCACGCAAAACGACATGACAACTTCCTTCGAAACCTTCGAAAAGGAGAGGTTTTGCGGCTTCCCCCATAGACACGGCGAACCCACAGGAAAACCAGAGACTCGAAAAGAGACACGTGGGAGCACCAAAACGATCATTTCGTACGAGACTTCCGGCGATTTTCACAATTGGCAACATAACAAAAGGACAGGTTTTGCAGCTTCCCCCATAGACACGGCGAAGCCACGGGAAAACCAGAGACTCGAGACGAGACACGTCTTGAGCACCAAAACGAACATTTCGTACGAGACTTCCTCCTATTTTGGCACTTTGCAGCTTCAAAATCGACGTTTTCCTACGAGTTTTCTTTAGAACCTAAGAATTTGCAACCTCAAAATCGATGTTTCGTGCGAGGCTTCCGTCAATTTTCAGCACATGTCACAAAATGCCACGACTGCCACGGACTTTGCACCTTGTCACCACTTGACGCAGCCCTGCCAATGCGATTTACAAAAAACACGCAACAGGACACGTCTAAAGTGCTGCGCCTGCCACGAAAAATGACGATGGACACGTCCAAAGTGCTGCGCTTGCCACGAAAACTGCAACACATCTTCTGAAAACGTCACAAAAGTATTGCGCCTGCCACGCAAAACGACTTTCGACACGTTCCAGAACACGTCTGAATGTCACGAAGTGCCACGCCTGCCACGCGAAACGAAGCAACGACACGTCTGCAACCCCCAAAAAGGACCACCTCTGCAGAACTTCCCATAGGCACGGCCATACGGGGATCGCGCGAACGGTTGCGGACAGTTGCGGACGCGGACGCAACGTCGAGCGAACACACCCTCAACCCCCAGACCCCCAGAGTGAAACGGGAACCCTTGCTACGCATTCGGGAAAAATGATACAATGTGAGGCCCCCCGGTAACTATAGTTGTAAGTACCATACATATAGTTATTGGAGATATAAACCAACTTAGCTATCGAACGGGGGCCTCACATTGTAAGATTTTACCCTCTGGTCAACTAACATATCCCCATTAAACCCCACTACAATCACACAGAATGGGATATAACATTATATAACATTCCCATATATGCGAAGTATATTGCTCCCCGTTGATATTATCTTCATATTTCAATCGAACCATGAAACACATCACTCTCCTATCCCATTCTACTGGCTGGTTCATAGTTATCGATGTTGTGTGTAGCAATAATTCCCAATGACCCAGGTAGTATAACCTCCTATAATGATCTTCCCATGATATTCCCATTAAGAGTCCATCTAAATCCCCATCTACCCTCTGGTCAACATACAAAACTATGGAAAGATCCACCATTTTGAAAGGGTAAATCAACGATCTCAATGGTGATTTCGCGGAGGAAAATGATGATTTCGCGATTTTGGTGGTCTCAGGCAGCGACCAATTGCCATTCTTGATTGCACTCATGTCTGCTATTTTAAATCTCCCTTGAATGATGTTTTTCCTTTCTAGGATTGTCTAATATGACCTCATGTGATCAGGACGCTGCTTTAGCATCTTGTATTGTAGTCAAATGTTCTTGAGAAGTCATAAGCGGGACAGGTGGTTTCTAATGATTTCATCATGCATTTTCGCATATCTGCCGTCATGCGATGACTCAAGGGCATCGTCGCCATTGATGCTGCGAGCCTGCAGTTGCCCATTGGGCACCGTTGTGACACATCTGCAGAAGCGCCTCATAAAAGAGCAGACAGAGTAGAGCAGTTGCCCATCGGGCACCTTGTGCAACACTCGCTGAGCTGAAGACTACTTACACACGGGCTGCAGTGGAGAAAATGGCAGCAAAGTTTCGACAGCAAACGCTGATTGTAGCTGAGCGGCCACCCAGAACTTCGCAAAGAGCTGCAAACAACGCTCTTTTCAACACTGGCAAAATGATACCTTTGTCCAGCTCTTAAATGGTGGCTTGAACCATCTTGAACCCATTGAAATCCCATTTGTTCCCATGAAATCCCTCATTTTATCACCACTTTCCCGTTACGAAACCCCACGTTTCGGACCGTTTCGGACCGCCTCGAAGAGTCCCACAGTGGGACTCAGTTGCCAAAGAAACTCTGGTGCCATGGGATCTAGAAACCGATCTGCCACCTGGTGCTCCCCACATGCTCCATTTGAGATAGCTACAGCATGCTACAGCTATGGAAAAGGGATGAACATGGCCACATGGCCCATGAAAGATTGATAGTTGGATGATATACCATATGAATCCATATGATATACCTATTGAATCTAGTGATTTTGTTTTATTTTTGTTCATAGCTGTGTGAAATGACGAGTACCAGAGGGATCCAGAGGATAACCAAACCAAACAAGATGGGAATCTATTGAGAATAGATGAAATGTCACCTTGGGGTTAGTTGAATCCCCATGACACTCATCAGGTGATCAAGTGACCATCAATTGAAATGGGGGGATTCCACTGTCTTCAGTTATAATGATGGACAATCTTCAGTTGTAACAATCCCCATGTGATAATCTATACTAATCAGTAAAAATTACAATCCACATAGTTCCATTGTTCTCGAGTCGCTGGTTTTCCTGTGGCGTCGCCGTGTCTATGGGGGAAGCTGGAAAACATGTCCTTTTCGAATGTTTCCAAGCAGGTTGTCCTGTCGTTTTGCGTGGCAGGCGTGGCACTTTGTGACATTCCAACCTGTTTGATAACGTGTGGAAAGTGTCAAAATTGGAGGAAGACTCGCACGAAATGCTAGTTTTGATGTTCCTGCGTGTCTTGTCTCGAGTCTCTGGTTTTCCTGTGGCGTCGCTGTGTCTTTGGGGGAAGCTCCGCACTCCACACTCTACACTTTACACTCCACAATTTACACTTTAGACTCCACACTCTACACTTTACACTCCACACTTTACATTTTGCACTTTACACTCCACACTTTACATTTTGCACTTTACACTCCTCACTCCTCACCTGAGACTTTACACTCCACACTCCACACTTTACACTACACTCTACACTTTCCACTCCTCAATCCTCACTCCACTCCACACTCCACACTTTACACTCCTCACTCCACACTTTCCACTCCACACTCCACACTTTACACTCCACACTCCACACTTTACACTCCTCACTCCACACTTTACACTCCACACTTTCCACTCCACACTCCACACTCTACACTTTACACTCCACACTCCACACTCTACACTCCACACTCTACACTTTCCACTCCACATTTCACACTCCGCACTCTACACTTTACACTCCACACTCCCCACTTTACACTTTGCGCTCCTCACTCCACACTCTACACTCCACACTCCCCACTTTACACTCCACACTCCACACTCTACACTTTCCACTCCACACTCCGCACTCCACACTCCACACTTTACTGTACACTCCACACTCCACACTTTATACTTTACACTCCTCACTCCACACTCCACACTTACACTCCTCACTTTACACTCCACACTCCACACTCTACACACCACACTCTACACTTTCCACTCCAGACTCCACACTCTACACTTTACGCTCCACACTCCACACTTTACACTCCACACTTTACACTCCACACTCCACACTTTACACTCCTCACTCCACACTCCACACTTTACACTCCACACTCCACACTTACAATCCTCACTCCACACTTTACACTCCTCACTCCACACTCCACACTTTACACTCCACACTTCACACTCCACACTTTCCACTCCACACTCCACACTCCACACTTTACACTCCACACTCCACACTTTACACTCCACACTTTACACTCCACACTCCACACTCTACACTTTACACTCCACACTTTACACTCCACACTCCACACTCTACACTTTACACTCTACACTATACACTCTACACTCCACACTTTACACTTTACACTCCACGCTTTCCACTTTACACTCCTCACTCCACACTCTACACTCCACACTCTACACTTTCCACTCCACATTTCACACTCCGCACTCTACACTTTACACTCCACACTCCCCACTTTACACTTTCCACTCCACACTCCACACGCTACACTCTACACTCCACACTCACACTTTACACTCTACACTTTACACTCTTCACTTCACACTCTACAATTCACAAGCTCCACACTCCCCACTCCACACTTTACACTCCTCATTTTACACTCCACACTCCTCACTCCACACTTTACACTCCTCACTTTACACTCCACACTCTGCACTTTACACTCCTCACTCCACACTCTACACTCTACACTCCACACTCTACACTCCACACTCTACGCTTTACATTCCATACTCCACACTCTACACTTCCCACTCCGCATTCTACGCTTTACACACTCTACACTCCCCACTCCACACTTTACACTCCACACTCCTTACTTCACACTCCACACTCCACACTACACTTTCCATTCCACACTGCAGACTGGTAACAAGGGAAACATGTACAAAACTGTTCAAATAAACTATTGCAGAAAGGTACTGTGCGTGATTGCATAACCATGTGTTTTGACATCTGTACCATTAACATACGTGTGAGCATTCGGGTTCGTGGGCTTCATCTTGTTTCCACCCAAAAATCGCCAGGTTCCGTGCCATCCTCCTCCACCGCGGTCGCATCTTCTCGGCCCTGCAGCAGCCTGCGCGGGCGCAGCGCGACTTGCGCGCGGCGCAAGATATGGGTGCCGGAGGTGACTGGGGCGGCTGGGCGACTATTGTTAGCGCAACTTACCATTGTTAAGTAATTATCAAATACTGACTATTGGAGGAGTACCCCCATAATTAATATGCATGGTTTATTAATCCGGGGTTGACGTTATAGATTACCCTGTGGTAATTTAACAGTTTGCGACCTTGAAAACGGCCATAGAAATAGTGGATTTAGCCATTGAAAATGGTGATGTTCCATAGTGTTTCGTATGTTCACCAGAGGGTAACTCACCATTTCTGGTCCGTGAAATCAGAAAAATCAGAAAAAAAGTTGGGTAAGACCTGGTAAAACCCCATCTCTTCCGACAAAAAGCAATGCAGTTAAGGCCCGGAATACCAGTTATAAGTCAGTAAGTCACCCCATTTATGGAATGATAACCCCATAGAAATAACAATTTAAAACCATTTGTAACTGGTACAAGGGCTTTAACTGTAGCTATCATTAAACCTTAAACTAAAGTAAACTTGATTGAATGGGATAAAATATGATAAATGAAGTGATGATGGGATTTCAATGAATGATAAGATAGCAAGGTGAGGCAGTGTTCAAAACCCCTGTTGGTTGATGATTAGTTCTGGGGTAATACTCCAATGGGGAAATCCCTACCAACCAGGATTAAATGGAATGACAGAGGGATTTTCAACACTGCCCAAGTTGGTTTATAAAATTGGAACTTATAATGGGATGCAAATAGGTAGTTCAATAGGATTATGATGGGGGTTGGTGTTGTTGTGTTTTTTTGTTTCGTGAAGTTAGCTATGTTGGTGGCCACATATTCTTGTTTCTATTAGTATATCTAGCATGTTTCCAGGAAATATTTCATGGACATCATGAAATTTGATGGTGTTTATAGCTGATGTGTGATGGCTAAGTTGGGGGCCACATAACTCCAATAACTATGGTTGATGATACTTATAGCTATAGTGAATTGGGTTTACAAACCAACAAACATAACTGGGGGGCCCCACATTGTGGTATAACTAGGGTTTGTGGAAGATATAACAAACCAACTAGTCACCCTTTTGTAAATTCAGATTGACCCCGAAAATCACCAATTTTGAGTAGAAATCAATCTTCCAACCCCTATTTGGGTCATTTGGGTCTATGTTAATTTGCTGGAGGGTATACTATTGGTATAACTTGGTTTATGAAAAGATATAACGAACTAACTACTGGTTGGTTGTTTTCCATATAACGAACTTTCTTACTTCAATGACAATGTTGGGTTCAAAACTCTGGTAGCACCACCATTTTTCTCAGGTAAAACCCATGGTAAAAACCATTTTCCCGGGTAAATCCATCATTTTTCGCAGGTAAAAGCATGTAAAACCACGATTTCCCATCTCATCAACGACCTGGCAGTGTGCGATGGAAGCCACCAGCAGTGCTGTATCTCTACCGGCGGAAGTAGCAGGATTGGATGCCTCGAGATACGAGAGGTCACAAGCCTATGGCGTGAGACACAAAGCCACAAAGCTTTACTCACCTCAATGCAGGAACTTCAAAGTATTGCTCTGGTTGGTGGTTTCAAACAGTTGGATGATTTTCCATACATGGGATAATCCTAACCCCATTGACGAACTCCATCATTTTTCAGAGGGGTTCAAACTACCAACCAGATTCCTTCACCCCATGGTACAGGCTGAAGCTGAAAGAGATAGAGATGAAACGCAGCCGGGTGTCAACATCGACGCCCTTGTGTCCTTGTGGAGGTCGAGCGTAGGCGTGTGACCCCAGTTTTTGATACGACTTTTGAGATCATCGTCCCTCTCAGGGCCCAAAACTCCACAAGACACGCTCCGCAATGTCACGCCGCAAAGCATGTAAATCCACCACTTTCCCAGGAAAATCCGCCATTTTTCCCAGGAAAATCTAGCATTTTTCCCTGGTAAATCCTCCATGTTCAAAATTTTTCCCAGGTAAATCCACCATTTCTCCTAGGAAAATCTAGCATGTTTATCATTTTCCCACGTAAATCCTCCATTTTTCCTAGGGAAATCCAGCATGTTTATCATTTTTCCCAGGTAAATTCCATTTTTCCTAGGAAAATCCAGCATTTTTCGGAGGTGACCTGCTGGGTTTGGGTCCACCTGCTGCGGCATCCGCGCCAGGTGGTGAACTGCTCGAGGCCCTGCGCGAGGCTCGACAGGCGCTGGAGGAGTTGGAAGTCCTGGAACGGCAGAAGGAGATGAAACAAAAGGTGCCCATGGGTTTTTCAAGGGAAATAGTGGCTTAATGATGGTCAGTGGAGAATTAATGGAGAATTAATGGGATTTAATGGATTTTAATGGTGCCGATGGGTGTTTTTCAAGGGGGATTTGTTGATGGGAGGAGTGATAAAAAATGAAATTTACACATGGTTTAATGATGGTTACTGGAGAATTCGTCATCATGTTTTCCACTGGGGGAATAATGGGTTAGTGGAGAATTAATGGAGAATTCATCCGCATTTTTTGGGATTTCTTGATGCTTTGTAGTGGACTAATGGAGAAATCATCATCATTGAATGGGATTTAACGGTGTTTTTCAATGGGATTTGTTGATGGGAGGAGTGATTAAAAAAATGAAATTAAACATTAACCTTCCATGAATGATTCCCCTGGTGTTACTATCTTTCCCAGCGAATTTCATGTGTTTGTGTTTCTAGTGGGTTAATGGAAAATTAATATGGATTAATCATCATGCAATGGGTATTTAATGGGCATTAAGATGTATAACCAACCAAGGTTCACTTAAACAGTTGCCGCTCGGGCTGCGGTGGGCCGGCGGTGGATTTTGAAACGGCCAATAGTTGAGCATTAATCATTATAGGAGGTTATACTACCTGTGTCATTGGGAATTATTGCTACACACAATATCGATAACTATGAACCAACCAGTAAAACGGGATAGGAGAGTGATATGTTTCATGGTTCGATTGAAATATGAAGATATCAATGGGGATAAAGATACTTCGCATATATAGGAATGTTATATCCCACTATGTAGGATTGTAGTGGGGTTTAATGGGAATTATAACGGGTAATTGTTGGGATATCGATTAAACATATCGCGGCTATCAACCAACATACAAGGAATGGTGGGAAACTGGCTAGATCAAGATGTAAAATGACCAATGTTTGGTTGGAGGAAACCCGTTGAATATGTTTTTTTTCGGTCATCCTGAAATCTTGACAAACCTGGGTGATCACACTTGGATTTTCGAAATAGCCTACTTGGGGCAGTTGAGATTCCAAATGGCTATAAGTATGGCATCTTAAGCCCCAGTAAGTTAGAAAATACCCCCTCTAAGTGTAGATATCCAGTTCCACTTGGAAGTGCACTTCCAAGAAATGGGAGCAGTGGCTGCGATCTACCCCTGGCAGGGTTGATTAGTTCGGGGATTATACTACCCTTTATATCTTGGGGATTATGTCATAATCCAAGAATGGGGAATCCCTACAAACCAACCAGGATTAAATGGAATGACAGAGGGATTTTGAACACCATGATTTAAGTGTATTTAACATGGCTTTCAGATATGGAATTTAGCCAGTGGTGAAATTTTAGGACTGGGGAAACCTTTCAAGTGCGGGACCCATCGCCGCCAACAAGAATGGAATTTTACCGTTGAAATCCTCGATCCATGAAACTGGTATGTTGCCTGAAACAGCATAGCCATAGTGTTTGGAAAGCATAGCCGAACGAACCAACTCTTGAAGATCATGAGCCAACAACGAACGCCCTGGCAACGGACCTGTCTCACGCGAGAACACCAATTGATGGGCGCACCTTTTGACATACGATTTAGGTTTAGGAGGGACAGATTGTGCGTGGCACTCACCACTTTTAACTTATGCTAGTCCCTGAGTTTCCACAGTGGGGGTTCTGGTTGAGAACACATTGCGCCCTGAGCTGGGCTCAGTGTTTGCCTCTCCAGATTTGACTGTAACCACATAGTCACAGCAACACCTGGAGTCCTGGAGCATGGCACAAAGGTGGTGCCCAAAAAACTTATATCCCAAGTGATGGCAGGGGTCCAAGAATGTTTCAATTGTGCCGGATTTGCCTCGAGCATGGCCGGTACGGCCTTTAGATGCCTTTAGCATGACCGGGTACAATGCTTCGCCATGCTGCAATGTACTACCGACTGCTGGGCGTGCCGAGCAACGCCAAGCGACACTACTTAGCTGCTTGGTCCAGGCAAACTGGCGTCAAGGAGCTCAATTCGGAGACGGGCACAAGACCGCCCCCGGCCACTACGATGGAAAATAGATCTTTCAAACGGCAGAAGACATTGTCGTGTTTCCTCCCAGACAGCACATCCAAGGTTTGAATCACCCAAAGCTGGCGAGTGGGAAAATTTGAGAAACTTTGGTGAAGGCTCTGGTAAACCCGTGATATCCACATCAAATCCGATACACATTGGTGGTAAATTCCACATCTTGCATCCCAATCACCAGGTTCATTGGGTAATTTGCCTATACAAAAAGGGCAATGCGCCAGTAGATCTGCACATTTCTTAGTTATGATCCCATGTTTGTGGGTTAAACCTCAATTTTGCTTATTCAGAAATATCATCTATAAACAGCTACATCATGATACTACACCAACTATTGATAACTATTGGATATTATTGGATATTGGATAGTGTTACTCTATTTGACAATATCAACACTATCCAATAGTTGACAAATATATTCTGTGGATAAACCCTATAGTGTTTCTGTACTATTCTATTTGATCCATAGTTAAGGCCCGAAATGCCAGTTATAAGTCAGAAAGTCACCCCATCTATGGAACATAACCTCATTTATAACCATTTATAGCAATTTATAATTTATAACCATTTATAACTGGTACAGGGCTTTAACTGTATAGTGTTCCCGTGGATCCGTGCTATAACTCTGCCAAAAACACTTCCACAGCACTGTTTTTTTTTCTTCGCGTCGAGGTGCCTGTGACAGTTCTGACCGGTTTCCTAGGGGCAGGCGCGGAGCAAATCTTGGAAACACACCGTTGCTTTTGGGATTTGATAGGTACATGATAGTGCGAAAATGTAGCCTCTGGTAATGACGAACAGTTTGCTATTGAACATGGCCATTTACAGTGGATTTTGAAAATGAAAAATGGTGATTTTCCATAGTTATGTAAACGTTTGCCAGAGGGTAGTGCAACCCAAAAACATAGAAAATGTGTAAACCTGGAATTTTGTGAAGCAAATATCATGGAAGTACCAACCTGCTGGCACGCTTTTCATCATCTATTTAGAGATTCTTATACTAGGTCCAGTGAAATTTGTTCCTTTGCTTGGCGGAAATTAGTAGGTTAAGTGTTGGATCTATCCTAACTTCATCAGGTACTTCTAAATGATGCTCTAAATGTTGTTTGTTTTTGGTTTGAACATCAGATACCATAGTGGTTTGATCATCATTTTCCACTGACCTATTGCCATAAAAGTGTGATATATCCACGATTTTTGGACAAAGCCGCGGCCGAAGATCCAACAGAAATACGCTGGACAGATGTTGCCGCCAGTGGTTCGCCAATGGTTTGTTGGTTTGTTGGTTGTTTGGACACTAGAAATCCCATCCCCTACATGACAAATGACCCCACTGCGGAACTCCTGAATGAAAAGCCTCTGGTAAACTGACATACATAGCTATTGAACATGGATAGTTTCTAGTTGATTTACCTATTAATACCATGAAATCGTGGATTGCCCATGAAGTTCAGTGATTTACCCATTAAAGATGGAGGTTTCATGAGGCTTCCCAAGTCGGGAGTACCCCAAAAACGCTGAAAGGTTTATTAGATGGAACATCCATCTATAAATGGATGATCTGGGGGTACCCCCATGACAAAATGGAAACCTCCACATGGATCCACATGGCTAATCCCTGCACAACGACGCAACCTCTCATGGGGATGGCAATCGCAGAATCGCAGGCAAGACGACCCTTTTGAACTACATCTTGAAGGCAGGGTGAAGCTGCACCGGAAGCCTGTCGATAGTCCATGCAGGTCCATGGTTGGAGCACCATACATTTGCGCCATCAAATGTGGAGGTTGAAGCAACGTCAAATGTTCGTAGTGTTCCAAGCAAAGGTCTATGAATAGGGGGAAGCAATTACAGGATGGGGCCCCCAAGATAGCTAAGTTGCCTTATAAGTGGCTTAGCTATGGTTTATGGTAGATAGAACTATAGTTAATTGGGGTTAGAATGGCTCATAAACCAACTTAGAACTGGGGGGGCCCATCCTGTATGAACTAGCAAACAGGGGTGTGGGTGGCGGACCAAAGAGTTATGACAAAAGAGCCTTTCAATTGGCCAGACCACTTCTGATACGAACTCTTTAGACAAACTCTGAAGATACATAATGTATCTTCATGTATCCAACAGAAATGAAGAACATATTTGGCCATGAATGAGGACACTAACCTATCAAGGGGCATTGCAGAATGATAGTCATCACGTAGTGCAAGCAAGCAAAATGTTGTTCAACCAAGAGAAGGATTGCGTTAAATCATATACCAGACGCGCGATATGACGTGAAACTCCACTTGGCCGGGATTAGCCTTTGGTAATCGAACCTGGCAATGGAAAGTCCTACCCATTTGTTGGGGATTTCCCCTTGCCGTTTTTTGTTGTTCCACTAGTTGGATTGACCACCAATCAGTGGGAATGTCCACCAATCAATAAGCAAACATTGGGATATTGGTCATTAAAACATGGCAAAAGTGTTTGATGATTTCATGTATTGTCAATGGGAATTTCAGGATCCTAAAATGGAGGTACCCACCATGTACTAGGCCTATGTTTCAGGGCTATGTAAGGGGATATCCCCCCAAAATACGGCCTTATATGGTACTAACGTACCTCCATTTTAGGATCCTGGAGATCTCCCATTGATATTTGTTTATTTTCAAACATCTTTCAGATGAGCCGAAGTGACCGGCATTTTTTTTTGGGATTTGGAGCTGCTGCTCGCTCAGTCGCTCACCTAACCAGATACTTTTCGACAGCTCTTTGAAATACATCTGCGGATCTGCGATGGGTCAATCATCATTTAAAATGATCAAACTCCCACAGGATGGGGCCCCCCAGTGATGTGAACGTTGGATTAAAAACAATGAAATAACCCCGATGAACTATAGTTCTATCTACCATAAACCATAGAATTCAGCCACTTATTTATAAGGCAACCGAGCTCGACTGCGGGCCCCACCCATCCTGCAATTGGATTGGTAAATCTTGGAAAAGTTCCCCGGTTGTGGCTGCAGTGCACTCCAATAATGAAACATGGGTTTACTGATGATTACCCTCTGGTAAACATACAAAAAAAGATGGACAATCACCATTTTTAATGGGTAAATCCACTATTTCTATGGTCATTTTCAATAGCAAACTGTTTGTTTACCAGAGGGTACTGACTGTCTAAAGTTTCCGCACGAAAGGTAGAAGCCAAGAGTTGCAACGTTTGCAGATAGAAATTACCACTTTGGATCGCGCTCGTGATTCACACTTGAAACATGTTGCAATGGTTATATCATGTTATATCATGTACAGGTTGCCCCACTGGGCACGTCACCCCTATACTTGGAGATGAAAGAGGCTCAGGAACAGGAAAGATGGGGAGCATGACAAGCTCAAAGATGAAGCCTGGTCAGTACGCGCCTTCACAGTCGGACAGGGCACTCGCTGGCGACAGGGTGGCTACTGTGGCTGCTTCAGTGCCTCGCACAGACTCATCATTGCCGATGGACGCGCTTCGCGCTGGTGCCGGTAGAAGAGGGACGGGAACAAACTGGCACAGAATCCCCGACCCGTTCTCGCTGCATTATTTCCAATTACATTCCAGTTTACGTTACCATTTACATATTTTTTCCCAAGAAACCCCCATTCAAATAAAGATTTACATCAGCGTTTAAAGACAATTTTCCCACCAATATCCCATTAAAATAGCCATGTCTGGTTGGGTCATTGCTTGATGTGTGCAGCTTCTGCCCCTGACGCGGCAAATATCAGGCTCGCCACGGCTTCCGCTACGCGGTGATTGAGAATGAGGCTATGATCTGAAAAACAACAGTGATATGATACCCCCAAAATCCCCTACAAATACCCATAGGTGAAATGGGTGTGTCTGAAAATCGTGTACCCCTAAAGCCAATGGTTAATGATCATTATCCCTATTAAATGGCTATTTGTTTGGGAATATACCCTATATTCAGACACACCCAAATATGAAACATTGATGGGGTTTTCGTTTTCTCATGGGTGTACCTCCAAATCATCCAAGTGATGAATGACCATGACTTAGAACTTGAAACCTATGGTGACTTGGGGATCCCCCGCACTAAAAAAGAAAAAAACATGTATAGTCATAGTACACATCCATATATGGATATATCCATATATATATAAATATAATATATAATATATAATATATAATATATAATATATAATATAATATATATATACATATATATATACATATAATATATAATATATATAATATATAATATAATATATTTATATATATTATATATATTACATATATATATAATATGTATATTATATATATATCCTAACTTACAAGTTCAGGAAGATCAATATCCTATGGATCCAAAGGCCTCCTTCTTCTCGAAGAGACTTTACGTCCCAAAACAGACCCAAGTTCTTCCGAGAGGAAGATAAGTGTTTCCATAGGGTGTGGTTATCTGTTTTTTTGGTGAGTACCTGGTGGAAACACAATGAATTCACTTCACCCACTCATGGTTAAAGAAAAAAATACGGTACATGATGTAAAAATGTCATTCATTATGAATAATCTACTTATCACTTATGATGATACCCTCTGGTAAACAAACAGTTTGCTATTGAAAAAGGGCATTTATGGTTGATTTATCCATGAAAAATGTTGATTTTCCGTAGTTTTTTGTTTGTTTACCAGAGGGTAATGATATAGATAGTTTAGACGACAACATAGTAATCTATAATTACAACTTCTGGTGGCCAGGTTCATATCCATCGATTTGTGTTTGGTATGGATACATAAATCCCTCATGAATGAACATTTTAATCGGGAGTTTCAAGGAATTAAGCCAACTCATATGGTGATTTTGTTCAGGCCCTAATGGGAATTTAAGAGATAGCCTAAATCAAATGTGACAAGCTGGGAGATCCCCGAAATAAATGGAAAAATCGAAAGGCATGTTACCAGAAGATATTTCTTCAAGAGGATTGTTACCCCAAAATCATCCCCAAATCATGATTTGAAATTTTGGGGTACCCCCTTGTAAGAAATCTCTGTACAAAGAAAAGAAAAATCCTACTGGCATTGTTATTGTTTATGTTTCTATCTTTTGGGTGGCTACTATACCCTGCATTTTGTTTTTCATACAGTGGGTGTTTTTAGCCATGAAAAGGATGATACATAATTGCAAGAGATTACCAGAGATTACTACTTCAAATCATTTCAAATGGGTATGGATCAATACCTATACATACCATTTTTAAGGGGTTATTCACATCCATTTACCAGCTATTTTGATGTGAACAAACATGGGGTACCATTGGTTTTGACCCATCCCCAAATTATTTCAAATCTCTTGCAATACACTGTAGATTTGCAAACGGATTTCTCTGAAAATAGGGTAGCCCTAGATCCATTGGTTGATCATGATTTTCCCTATGAAAAAATGGCCATTTGATGGGGAGAAAACCATGGCTTCGAACAGACCATGGAGATCACCTTCATGGGAGATGAGCATGACCCAGAAATGGTGGGATCCAAGCAATCGATGAAGATTTAACCACTGGTAACTGAACATAGTAGTAGTTCAGGTGGAAACAATAAATGGTTGGCGGTTTGGAACCATGGAAGTTTATGACTTTCCATTTAACATATGGGATAATCATCATCCCAACTGACGAACTCATATTTTTCAGAGGGGTTGAAACCACTAACCAGATAAGTATGTCAGTATCATTGGAGCTATACTAATAGTCTGATCCAATACTTGTTTAGTATATTAACATAGAGGTTTCCCAAGTCATGGGGTACTCCTCAATCATCCACTAAAACACCGGATGTGAAATAAACCATCCAGCGGGGTACCTCCATGACTTTGGAAACCCACAATATACAATAATATACAATACATATATATATATATATATTGAATAAATATCATATTCGCAATTTTTAGTAATTATTTATCCACTTGTCCATATTTCAGTTTTGGGATGATATTCCAGCCGAGTATTGAAGTAATTATTTACTGATTGAAATCAATTTCTCTCCAAACCTTAATTTTTCTTGCCATCTGTGCCAGCCTGTCGATGCATTGGGGCCTGGTGATTGGGAGGACGGTTGAGGGCGACGAGGGCTGGCGGCGTGGCTCAATCCGCGTGGCTCAATCCGATTTGTGTACCCTCTGGTAAACGTTTTCACTTTGCTATTGAAAATGGCCGTAGACATAGTTGAATTGGCCATAGAACATGGTGATTTTCCATAGTTATGTAAACGTTTACCGGAGGGTAAGCCTGGCTTGTCTTTCATATGTCGCAATGGGGGGGAATAAATGAAAACCTAAGCCCTTCAAGCCCAAATCAGCCATTCACTCCGAAAGAAGCAAACAACCAAGAAGAACGAAGCGCACAACAACAGCTGGGCTGTTTGAAACAACAGCTTTCACAGAGGGGACCTGGTTTTCAGCCCAGGGAAATGGAGCTGGAGGCCGCGCAAGAAGAGCTACGCCAGCTACAAGCCCAGGAATTGAAGGAAGCAGAGGTGAAGGAGGAGGTCGCAGCTCTGGCACCACATGTGGCCTTCTTCACAGCGGATTGCAGCCAAAGGTCTGCGCCCTTCGGTGATGCTGACAGGAGTGCTACGGCCGTGCTTCGACCCAAGAACTCCATTGTGTTTGTGCATCGCATGCTGCCACCAATTGCCTTGGATCTCAAGTTCTCCAAGAACCGCCTTCCACGCACTGGGAGGAAGCCTAATGGCACCTCAGATGCAATTAATGCAATAATATGCAATGAAAAGAACAACAGACAAACAAAAAACAGAAAGAACTGGTCAAAGAAAGAAAGAGTTCAACAAAGAAAGGAAGGAATGAAGAAAAGGAAAAAAGGAAGAAAGATTAGGAAATAGGAGTAAGAAAGAAGGGAAAGAAAGGAAGCAAGGAAAGGAAAGGCATTTGTTGTATCAGGTTTTTGCGGCTGGACCCCTGTAAGAACGTTGTGGATTTTATATTTCCTGAAAGTATTTTTGAATGAATAAGGGCTACTGCTGCAGAAAGGCTGTGTCCAGCAATCAAATGTTGGTGAATTGTATCCATTTCATCAATGGCTGATGTCAAGAAACTGATATATCCTGGCACTACATGGCTTCAATCCATGTTGGTGATATTCCCCACGTGAGTTTGTTTGAAAACAAGGTACCCCAACCTCATTTGTTGGGCCTAATCATTCTATAATTTTCTGGACCCCACCTTAAGGAAAACTGCGATTCCTGAACTCAGCAACTGGATTTAGCAGACAAGATCGGATCATTTTGAGCTGATTGAAGGTCAAGATGCTTCTCCCAAGTTGACTTCTACGGTGGATGGACAGTTGGGGTCTGAAAATGGGATGTACCCTAAGTGTCCATTGAAGAGGGAGAACCCAGTGATTAGCCAATGGATTTGGGGCGCGGCTACACTCTTTCATAACCCAGTTGACGTCAGTTGTGAAGCCAGGATGGGAAGCACCATGCATGGAGTCTACGCATCGTAAACGACGTGCTAAACGCAGGGAATGGATGGGTTGCTGGGGGTTGCTGGGATGTTTATTGATAGTTAGCCAGTGTATCATTCCCGAAAATTCCCTGCGTTTAGCATCAGTAAGTTTAGCAGCACTTCCGTATGGCTTTGATATATTATGGTTTTCATGTTTTCACTATCCAATATTTGGGGGATGAACTTCACCGCTTTCCAAGCGGGATGCACATCCAAATCGTGGCCTCGCTGTTCAGGTGGGCCAAATTGGCATCGACAACCAGTTGCTGGATCGGAGCAGCATGCAGCGAACGAGCGAGTCAGTGCGGCACTAAGGGGCGGGGTGCACGGATCGGCGGTGCAGGATCGGCCAACTTACTAAGTGAGTACAGGATGGGGCCCCCAAGATTGCTAAGTTGAGATATAAGTGGCTTAAGTATGGTTTATGGTAGGTATAACATGGTATAACTATAGTCAATGGGGATTATAAATCAACTTGTAATTGGGGGGCACCATCCTGTAGAAGAACTGTGGGAAATCACCATGTTTAATGGGTAAATATAATAGGCAAACCAACTATAAATGGGCCATTTTCTATAGCTACGTTAGTTTGCCAGAGGGTAAGTGGTCCAGTGGTTAGTAAGTGGGGTTAGTTCACAAAGTGATAACTGGGACCCAGTGATAGCTCAGGGAACGTTCTCGATTGCAACACCTGCTGCGGGGCAGATACTGCGAGGCTTGACGACGGATCATTCATCCCAAAACCTGGCTTTCCAGCGCTCCGACAGTGAGACAACAAAGAGATGCAGCAGTTCCAGAGACCAGGAGAAGAAGGTAGAATAGAATTTACTTTACTTCGTGTGATCCCCACCATGACATTTATACATTTTCTTACTGGCAAATCTTCTGGCATTCTATCTGACATATCTTCTGGCATTCTATCTGGCATTCTATCTGACATATCTTCTGGCATATGTTTTGGCATATCTTCTGGCATTCTATCTGGCAAATCTTCTGGCATTCTATCTGGCATATCTTCTGGCATATATTCTGACATTCTATCTGGCATATCTTCTGGCATATGTTCTGGCATATCTTCTGGCATTCTATCTGGCAAATCTTCTGGCATATCTTCTGGCATATCTTCTGGCATTCTATCTGGCAAATCTTCTGGCATATCTTCTGGCATTCTATCTGGCATATCTTCTGGCATTCTATCTGGCATTCTATCTGGCATATCTTCTGGCATATGTTTTGGCATATCTTCTGGCATTCTATCTGGCATATCTTCTGGCATATCTTCTGGCATTCTATCTGGCAAATCTTCTGGCATCAGGTCCCAGTTGAGGTCCAGCGGTGCACACTGAGCTGGGAAGGTCCCCGGTTGAGGTCCGGCAGGGAACACTGGGCGTGGATGGTCGTGGTTGAGGTCCGGCAGGGCACACTGAGCGTGGATCGCGGTTGAGCAGGAGGAGGAGGAGGAGAGGAGAGGAGAGGAGAGGAGAGGAGCAGGCAACTGACATAAAATCTAACAACCCTCACCTGGCAGGTGGGGAAAAAATCACATGGGCGGGCCAAAAAGATACCCTCTGGTAAACATACAAAAATCTATGGAAAATAACCATTATTAATAAATAATACTTAATAAATCCACTATTTCTATGACCATTTTCAACAGCTATGTAACAAATTACCAGAGGGTGTATATATAATATGCCTTGGAAAACGCCTCAGCCACGGGGTGTCAACTCGGATGTGGTCCAGATGGATTGATCTCGCCACCAGCACCTGTAAAATCTATGTTTTGATCTGTTGGTATTTGATAAACCAGATCAACAACATGTTCACGTGTAAAATCAAAAATCAATTGTATTTTACCCTCTGGTTATGACTAACATAGCCATGGTATAGATGGCCCATTTATAGATGATGTTCCCATTAAAACCTCCATTTATTTTGGGGATTTTCCATGGCTATGTTAGTCATAACCAGATGGTATATGTTTTGATTTTTGTTGATTTATTTTTTGATCTTCGGGAGAAAAGTTAACTACAATTGCACATCATGGGATGTCAAGAAGGGAAAAACCGCCATTTAACATGTGGATTTAACATGACTCAACGATTTAAGAATTACCATCTGGTTATGACTAACATAGCCATGGAAAATCCCCAAAATAAATGGAGGTTTCTAGCTGGGAAAATCATCTATTTCTATGGGCCATTTATACCACGGCTATGTTAGTCATAGCCAGAGGGTATGTAGAGAGTTTTTAGCCATCAAAACTATGGGGATCATTTTTCAAAAAATGATGCTTGGTTGATGAGTTGTTTTTGCCTTTTTTTAGGGATGATATGGGATGCATGAGAGAAGCCTCAATAATCAACTGGTTGGTGGTTTGGAACATGATTTTTTATTTTTCCATATATTGGAGATAATCATCCCAACTGACGAACTCATATTTTTAAGAGGGGTAGGTATACCACCAGCCAGACAATTCTTGATGAATGTGACTTGTAGAAACTGGCGGGTACTTAACGGTTCACTTAGTGCGGGGTAAGTGGGGTTATCACCTCGGTCTAACGGTCTAACCATGTATACCCTCTGGTAAACTAACAGTTTGCGAACTGGAAAATGGCCATAGGAATAGTTGTTTTTCCCATTTAAAAGTGTGATTTTCCATAGTTTGTTGTTAACGTTGACCAGGGGGTAACCCATTCAGGGGACGCGTTTCTCGACGTAGGTCCACCAATTACCAAACAAGGGACGATCCTCCTAGTACGGTGTGCAATTACAGATGGTCTTTGTGACATTTTGAGGTGGATATATTGAAACTGATTGAAATATCCCCATAATTCAACTGATTGAAATGGTGGTTCCCTAAGTACCCCTAAATCATCAAATTTACCATCTGGTTATTTAACAGTTCGCCATGGGAAATGGCCCATTTTTTTAAGGTAAACCATCTATTTCTATGGGCCATCTATACCATGGCTATGTTAAATAACCAGAGGGTGGGTATTTATTGAAACTTAGACACTTCGCTATGACCTGCAAATAGACAATCCACATTTTTTTTGTCCTCACGAAACGGAAAGGGCGAGATCATGACCAACCGAGATAGCAACATATTACTTATAGATTATGCTCAGCAAATTGCACCGACAACCCCTCTAGTAAACGCTTATGAGGCCAATTTATTTACTCTCCAGTAATCAAACGTGGCAAATGGGTTTTCCCATGTCATTTTCATTAAAACCAGGATTTTCCACGTTTGCTTACCAGGGGGTATAGGCATCAATCCAGGATAAACGTGTCCAGTCGAAAGTCTTGTTACTGCAGGGCATCCGGATTAGCCATGCGTGGGCGTTATGAAGGTGCTGCAAGATGGCGTGTTTACTGTACACTGCAACAGTTGCAACACATGGGTTATGGATCACTGTACCTTGCACAGACCCACAAAGTGTTGAGGGGTTGGTGCAATGCAGCTATGTCAGCCTTCCTGTGGAAGCTACGTTCCATGCATCATGTCGGCCTTGGCGGCTGTGAATATATCAGGTCATGGATGGATGATGAGACTGAAAAGGCGTTGAACCAATTTGGATCATCCCCTATATGTTATGCCATCCATCCTTATTGGGCGAATTAGATGTGTTGGTGAAGTCCTTTTTGATGTCACATTCTTGGTGTTTTTCTAACGCTTTGGAACCTATTCCTCGACACGGACTGCAGTCGCGGAAGTTCGCAGCATATGATGGGCAACGATGGTTTTACCGTGCTTGCAGAAGCTCCGGAGTCGCGAAAGCAAATTCCGATTCCAAAAATCCGTCTTTTGCGGAAGCTCCCTTTCGCAAGCTACCTTGTGCATCGCGGTTGCTGGGCGGAAGCCACCGCAGAAGCAATGATAATTTTGTAAATGTGTAAGATCTGTATGCATGGAGAGAAACAACACTCACAGGTCTGTTACCATTAACTTGTTCATTGTGGTAAAATGCTCATTTCTACAGGATCATAATCTGGCATGTGTTTGTTGTGATTCACTCCCCATTGTTTCCTCCTGTTTGTGGCTACCCAATTGAAATCCACAATTAGAATCAAAACTCATCGCAGAAAATCCTCAGGAATGTTCATGAATCATCATGAATCCCCATTGTTTTCTAACACCCTATGGATCCAAACTGTCTGAGAAGGGACCTAACCCCCTAGTCATCATACCCCAAATATAAAGGATTTGCCCCCCCCAGTGATGTTTGTTGGTGTATAAACCATTATAATCCCCATGAACTAGTTCGTTATATCTACCATAAACCATCGTTTTTTTCAGCCACTTTTCTATGTTTGGCGTTTCTGAACGCTATCGCTATCGACGGCCCCAGCCGTGGTCTCCACAGGTGGTCCTCTTGGACAACGGCTGCCTGTGCTGCACCGTGCGCAGCGACCTGGTAGAGGCGGTGAAGCAGATCCTGCTGAAGGTGCCCCGAGTCGTGCCCGCCGAGTCGGACGAAAAATGGGCTGATTTTAGATGTTAGCCATGGAACATCAATATTAGCCCATTATTAATGGGTAATAGTGACTAATAATGGTTAATAGTGACTAATAGTGGAACATAAATACATATTGGGGGTTATTAACCATTATTATAGTCACTATTAACCAAAAATTAATCATTATTAATCATGACCAACTATTACTAACCATTATTAATCACTATTAACTAGGTCAATCTTACATGGATACAAAGTAATCCTAACTAGTCTTTTGGTATTTTCATGGGAATATCTACGTTCACCAGCAACGAATTTTATTTTTGTGCAGGGTATCTAAGATTGGCAATGGAAAGATCCACCATTTCTGATAGGTAAACCATCTATAAATGGTCCATCTATACAATGGCTATGTGGTGATTTAAACTGGTTGATGGTTATTAGCCACCACCATTATGAGTGTTAAACCAATTACGGTTAAATGGTAATAACCATATTGTTTTTAGAGATATATTTGATATATTCCAATAGATTACAGTAACTGGTTGGTGGTTTGGAACATGAATTTTATGACTTCCCATTGGGAATAATCGTCCCAACTGAGTTGCCTATTTAAATCCCATTGATAGGTGGTTTTCCCATTACGCTCTGGTAATTTACTGTAACATAGCTATGGAAACCATGGCCCATTTATAGTGAGTTGTCCCATGAAAAATGGTGGATCTGTCCATAGTTATGTTAGTTCACCAGAGGGTAAATATTTTAAAGTCAACATGGGGAAATTCTAGTTGAAATGACTTGAAGGTTTGAATCGGCTTGGATATGAAATACGTTGGTCTATGGATATCAGGAGATTTCCATGGGGATTTGATGGATCCTTTTGGCATCTAACCACGGCTGAAAACAACGGCGCTCGTCGCTGCAGCTGTGACTAGATGCATCCCATCAATCCACCGGTGTGGCTAGGGCCAGGGCTAGGGCCTAAGCTGGGTTTGACCCGCTAAATTTTGGTGCTTACCCTCTGGTAAACTAACATAGCTATGGAAAATCACCACATTTTATGGGAAAATCAACTATAAATGGCCATTTTCAATAGCTACGTTAAATTACCAGAGGGTAAGTGAATGAATGTCTCGTCGTTAAGTGCATTTACTCTCGACATGTTATGACATGTTATGACGCTAACAGTTCGCCATGGAAAGATCCACCATTTTTCAGAACGGTAAACCTCTATTTCTATGGGCCATTTCCCATGGCTGTGTTAAATAACCAGAGGATATAGCTCCAAAAACTGTTGAAAACAAGGTGCATCATATAAATTATCTACGATTGGATGCGGCAACATAAACCAACAAACATATACTTGGGGATACTTGGGGGCGTCCTTCCTGCGATTCCCGGTTCCTTTCCTGTTCAGGACCACGTCGGTTCGGTACCCTCCTGCGATCAAAACATGGCTGGGAAATTCCATACAAATGAAAGTTTTAGTGGGAATGGTATCTATAGGGAATTGTCCATTGCCATGTTTGATTACTGAAGGGTGTCTATCTTGGGGCAGTGCAGTTATAATAATCACATGATGCATGGTGGTATTCCCACGTAAGTTTGTCTGAATATTAGTAACATCCCACCTGGTTGGTGGTTTGGAACATTTTTTATTTTTCCATAATATATGGGACAAACCTTCCCATTGACTTTCATTTTTTTCAAGATGGTTAAAACCACCAACCAGCCACAGTCAAGCAATTATGTGTCCCAACTAGATTTGCAATTTTGGGGGTCGCCTCCCTTTTGCGGTTCACCATGCATAGCCCAAGAAATCATCGCAAAGCCTCAAAACATCATCCACAACTCATCCACAAATCATCCAAGAAATCATCCAAAAATCATCCACAAGTCATTCACAACTCAACCACAAATCATCCAAAAGTCATCCAAAAGTCACTCAACATGCCTGAAAATTGCCCATGTATCCACCATGGCCTGCCAGGCAGACACGGAGGCGGCAAACAGCACAGCGGCAAGGGCAGAGACGCTCGGCTGGGACAAACATGAGGTGAGACCATATACAGTTAAAGCCCTTTACCAGTTATAAATGGTTATACATGTTATAGATGTTCTGTATGCATAGGGTTATAACTGACTTATACTTGGTAAAAGGCCATCTCTGTACTACTATTAATTAATGACTATCTCCCATCCCTGGAATTTATGTGGGGCGAAATGGATTTATTCCTGATTTGGGATCTGTTCAAATTTGCCGAGATCCCGTACCCGCGTTGAGGTTAATCGCATCCACAAGTTTCCAGATATTTCAAAAATCAAGTTCTTTGTTTGCAGCTACATGAAGCACGTTAAATCATCAGTTGTGCTTTTTAAAACTGCCAGCTGATTCCAAACCCGTCTCGACCGTCTTTTTGTGCCGAATCATCCTGCTGATGCATCGCCCAGGGTGAACTCCGACCGCGTGTTGGACGGCATTTTGATCGAGACCACCGGTCTGGCGGATCCAGGTGCAATGAAACATGATGAAACGGGCAGATCTGGATTTCTTCATGGAGGTTTAACCAACAAATACGGGGATATCATGTCAACCCCGGATGAGACTAAACCATGGTTTATTTTTGTCGGAAGGTACTCCTCCAATAGTCCTGTCATAATCCAATACTTTTTTATGGTACCCCCCCAAATGAAACAGCCGTAAACGGGGTTTATTAATCCAGGGATGAAATTACCAGTGATAAATATAGATAATAGTATATATGATATCATCCATACTTAATAACATACCCCATTTAAGTGTCTATATATATATATATCACTGGATTAATAAACCCCAAACGGCTGGATTAATATTGATGATAGTTGGGATGATCGTTGGGATGCTATGGGATGATATGTCACAGTTCACAAGCACCAAAAACCAGAAGCCAAAGCCAGCTAGATGAATGGACAGCACAGAGGATTTTTGGTGATGGAAGGATGATTTATCCATGAAAATTCCCAATATCTCCATGAAAATTCCATTGAATCAATGGGAGATCTTCAGGAACCGAGAACAATTGGAGGTACCGATTCCATATATTTTTGGCCTATGCTTCAGGCCTAAATTTCAGGGAATATCCCCAGAAAATATGGCCAAAAATATGGTACGTTTACGTACCTCCATTTTAGGATCCTGAAATTCCCATTGAATATCCCCTGTTTTTTTTTGATGTGGGTTATACGACATTGACTAAGAGTGGCAAAGTTATATGGATCATATGGGTATGAATCAATACCTATTAATACCATTTTTAGGGGGTTATTCACATCCATTTAGCAGCTATTTTGAGGTTCACCAGGGGTACCAGGGTTTTGACCCACTGCCATATGTGATAATCTACCTTGCCTCTCTGATCTTTTTTCCCTTGGCGTGCCTTGTCTTGGTTGCTTCATCCAGCCAGATGAGCGTCTCACTGCTGTAGATCCCCATACCTCAGTGAAAGCCCCCTCTGCTGTGTGACCGTTCCACTATCTCTACAATGTGGGGCCCCCAAGAAATCGCTAAGTTGGTAACTCCAATACTATGGTTTATGATACTTATAACTGTAGTATTCTTGGGGTTTCAAAACCAACAAACATAAGGTTTGGGGGCCCCACATTGTAGGAACGAGTGTTGGTATTTTTTCAGCAGGAACTTGGAATCTTCGCAGGGTATCGTTTGGGTCGTTTCCATAGAACATACTGTTTTTTTGCATCCCATGCTGGATGCACCACCATGGTGAACAAAGGTTTATGGGTGATATAACTATAGTGTTCATGGGTTTCTAAACTAACAACCACAACTGGAGGGCTTCACCTTGTTGTTATCATAGTTTCTACATTTCAAGGTTGATGGGTTGAAAGATGTTGAAAGCTAGCCTCCATTGAGTCCTGCCCCCAAAATCGGAGAGGAAGTGCCTCCTCCGAGCGCAGGACCTGTGTGTAAGACTTTTTATGCAGATCCTGAGCTTCGCATGCGAACTCGAGCTACTGAGTTGATCAAAACGGGTCTGAAAATGAGCTGATTTTCCGATGTGGATGGAATGTGATACCATGTTCAGACAAAGTGATTTACTTACTGGTTGGTGGTTTCAAACATTTTTTATTTTCCATAATATATGGGATAATCTTTCCCATTGACTTTCATATGTTTCAGAGGGGTAGGTATACCACCAAGCAGCTTATGTCTGGTTGCCAGTACCATTTGGGTATGTCTATCATGTGGATACGATCAAGCCGCAGTTTTAGAAAAATTCCTGTCGCCAGCCATATGGCAGTCCAAACAGGTACTCCACCGTCTGAGCAACAGCTGTTTCACCGTCTATGCTTTCTTACAATTGAAAGCAAACCGCATGTCCACCATTCCATAAATTGCTGATATAACCCTAACGTGGGATTGATGTGCACCACACAAAATCAAAATCTCCGCGGTGGATGAGGGAAGTTGGTGTTGGTGTATTTTCATGTCATGACAATCATAGATCTAAACGTCAAACCATGGTTTTCCTGGAGTTATGTTCACCAAGTTAGCTATCATAGATCAGCTATAAATCCCATTAAACCACATTTTCCTATGGTAACTATTCTGGGCCACCAGCTGGCTGTTTGATCCTCATTTAACCCTGGCATTTTTGGTGGTACAATTTCGTTGATCCTGATGATCCAAAGTAAAACCCAATTGGTGCTCCGAAAATGTGCGTTCTTTGTCAACTCAGATCTAGGTCAATCTTACATGGATACTTTAACCCTGGTTTCTAAGGGAGTGCTTAATATTAGGTGGATGGGATTATTTGGCTTTAATCCTAACTAGTCTTTTGGTATTACTGGGAATATCTACGTTCACCAGCAAAAAAAACATGCAGGGTATCTAAGATTGGCAATGATCTTCTCTGTTGCTTTCGTGGTGGGAACAACGATGTGGATGGTTGCGAAATCCTGCGCCAGTTGATAGATGGTTTATCCCATTATTTATAGGGTCGCAAGAATCTAAGGTGGTGCAGGATTTCGCAACCATCCGCAGTATCAACCCAATATTTGAAGGTTAAATTCCTAACGTCTGGATGGTGTCGGCCACCAATTCGACCTCAAAACATGCTTTCAACGTGGGCCCAGCAATGTTCGCAAAAAATGCATCCAGCTGTGCCACCACTTGGTGAAGTTGCTTTAGATCTCGATGAAATACAGTTTTAGGGCCAAAGAACTATACTAGAAAGAAACTATGAGCTTATAAAATCTTATAAACAAACATAGCCAGGGGGCACCACCTTTGTTACGAAACGGGGACCTCAGGTGGATGGCGTGTTGACCTTAGTCGACACGGTGCATTTCTTGCAACAACTGCAGCGGGACCTGGGGACGGCGCGGGACGGGAGGGCACCAGAAATCTGGGTTCGTGGAGAAACACCACGGTCCATCAATGGGGTCAATGGAATCCTCCCAGGTAACTTTGAACCATCCATGGGGTATGGGGTTTTATGAGGATCAATGGGATTTTTTCCGGATTTTATGGAGGTTAGTTCATGGGGTTTCATGTGGTAAGTGGTAGATTAGGGAATGCGCATGGGAACACGAGAAAAATGGAGGATTTTTGTGGGGATTCGTGGCCAACCAGACAGGGCGATCTTAGATGGATACTTTAATCCTTTAGTCTTTTGGTGTCAATGGGAATATCTACTAACCAGCAAAGTTTTTTTTTGCAGGGTATCTAAGATTGGCAATGTAATGGAGTAAACCGATCAAAAACCAGCCCATTAACCAACCATGACTTGGTGGTAATAAACATCATCCCAGTCTCAACGGCATACCCAATACCATAAACCTCAAACTTGGGGATGGTTGATGGCATTGGGCTTACAACATTATAAATATAAAGGGAAAAGCGCTGTGTGATGAATCCCAATAAACGAACCCCCTTTTTGGGGTATAGGTGAGGAGAATTCGTGAATTGTTGGGTAAATGGATTTATGATGGCATTCACCACATTAGATAAACATTTCTGCATCCGACTGATGTTTGCGTGTGGATATTGTTTTGAGGTATATACCCTTGAGAAAACAAAGTTGGGAATGTAAAGATCAAATTTAAACAGAGTAGATCCTCTTCAAAGCTCTCTTTTCCACTGCCCAGTTTCATCCCCGAGTAAATCTCACATGGGTTACTGTCGCCTCACTGTCCGACCAAGCCAAACCAACAATGGTAAATGATAGGCAGAGGGCCCCAACATGTTTTTTTTTATTCCTCTATGTCTTGCTGTTGCTTAGTACAGGATGGTGCCCCCCAGTTATGAGTTCGTTTATAAATCCCATTAACCATAGTTATGAGTATCATAAACCATAGTTATGGGAGTTATAAACCAACTTAGCTAACTATGGGGCACCACCTTGTAGGGAATTGGGGAATTATCCACTCCCTAACTATCAAGCAGATCATCCCAGCAACCCCCATTCCCATCCATTCCCTAAGCACCAGTACTGGTTGGTGGTTCCAAACATGGCTGGATGATGTTCCATCATATATTGGACAATCCCAACCCCATTCACTTTCATATTTTTCAGAGGGGTAGGTATACCACCAACCAGCAAGGTATGATTACCATAAACCATAGTCATAGTCATACTATAGTTATGTTCAGCAGCTTTGCTATCGTTAGTTATAATTATCATGGGTTATCAGATGTTCTCATTTCTGAATTATGATAATTCGCCCACACTACATGAGAACAGTTTTTTGCTTCCGCGCAGAGCTGAGCCTTGAATTTGCACCCTGCACATACCAAACTGCTAACATTTGGGGTATATTGATGGTAAATGTTACCATATATGGCATACATGGATCCTATGGGTTATAACCTGAGTACAGCTATAAACATTTTTAACCCGAGTATTATCCCCAGTAATGTTGGACGTCATCAATCCCCTATTTGGCATGCCCTAAGCGCCTAATCACCTTCGTAGCTTCCTTCGTTGTCCTTCGTTGTTTTTAGCGCCAGGATCGCAGTGAGGGATCTGTGAACGAATCCGCGCAACAGGTTGGGTGGGACTGGAACAACGATAGATCGATCCATGTTTCCGAAAAAAGGATAGCTTGGCAATCTAAGGAAAAGAAGAGTGAATCCGTGCTTTCTAGTTTGGGCTTGATGGTGATGTAATTGGTTTTCTTGTTTGGAATAATTTTTAGCGGTGACACAAAAAGGGCTGGAAATTAACACTGAATCCTTCCAGTTTAATCATTTTTTGTGGTTTCAGTGGAACCCTACACGCCCTGAAATCTGATATGGAACCAGAAACCCAGGTTAGCTGTTTCCAACACAAGAGTCGTATTTAAGAGTTTTTTTTTGAGGTTCTATCTTGGATTTCAGAAGGACGCAGACATCCTTTCCTCAACAGCCTTCGTGAACAGAAACAATCAAATTGTCAATGGTCAACTCATTGAAGACGCAAACACGTCGTGGAGACGATTCTTTTAGCTACTCCATTCTTGATGGTTCCTTAGAGTACCGACGGATTTTGGCTGCTGTTGGCATCAGACTTTGTGGACCCCATTTTCAGCAACTAGGCTTGTCATACCTCCTGCTGAATGACACTGCTTATTGCATGCCATATCTGAGGAGAATAGTTCCACTATGTTATCTACAATGTATGCCCCCCAGTTATAAATTGGTTTATAAACCCCATTAACCATAGTAAGTATCATAAACCATAGTTATTGGAGATATAAACCAACTTAGCTATCTAGGGGGCACCACATTGTATGTTCCACTTTTTGCGTCTAGAAAGGTGAACCTGGCTGTTTCCCAGGTGGCTTTTGCAGACAAAGTGCTGCTTAACAAGGCGCCAGTCCGGCAGAAAGTCTCCCCCGCGAAAACCTTGATATTCAGAGGATGCAGATCATGACTGATCATGTTCAATAGAGGGTACTAGTAATATATGGACTATTCTGTATAGTGTATGGTGTTTATATGCTGTTTAATATAAAAAAATCAGTATATATACTACCAATTGATATAATATATATATATATTGATATAATATATATTGATATAATATATATTGATGTAGTATATATTGATATAATATATAGTATATACTGATGTACCCTCTGGTTATGTCAAAATAACTATTGAACATGGCCATAGACATAGTTGATTTACCTATTAATAGCATGGTGATTTTCCAGTTCGCAAACTGTTAGTTTACCAGAGGGCAACATTTTGATACCAGTGCTTAGTAGGGAATGGGAAAATGAGATGATCCAATCCGAAAAAAAACTACTAGCAACACGTTAAAGTCAGTCATGTTCGTAAAGCAATAGTATCCCCAATTCCCAATGTTGCCATAAATTTGTGTTGTATAAACGTTATAAGTCTATATAGGTAACCTTACGTTAGTAAAACAATAGTATAGTTTTATACCCAATTTTGCCATAAATGAGTGGTACATGGTGGTACGGTATAAGCTTTAAACTTTAAACCATCAAAATACGGTGGGTGGTTAAGAAATCCTGCACCACCAAAAGGATGGTTGAAACCCATTGAAACCCATCCAAAATCATGGGATGTTTACCACCGTTTTCAACTGGTGATTCGGATTTTGCTGGCCCATCCACAGTAGAATAGGTAAATATTGGTAAATGATATAGTATTGAAAATAGTAAGATTGATATTACAAGGTGGTGCCCCGTAGTTAGCTAAGTTGGTGAACATAACTCCAATATCTAGGGTTTATGGTAGATATATCGAACTAGTTACCCTGGTTTATAAACCAACTAATAACTGGGGGCACCACCTTGTAGGTATAATAGATCCCATTGAAATTCCACAGAATGGAATCAATGGGAGATCTCCAGGATCCTAAAGTGGAGGTACGTTAGTACCATATGTTGGGCCATATTTTGTTGGGATATTCCCTGAAATTTAGGTCTGAAAAATTGTCCTTATATATGGAATCTGTACCTCCATTTTAGGATCCTGAAATTCCCATTGATATCATACAATGTGGTGCCCCCCCCAGTTATGTTTATTGGTTTATAAACCCCATGAATACCATAGTTATTTGCGTATCATAAACTATAGTTATTGGAGTTATGTTCACCAACTTAGCTATCTTGGGGGCCTCACATTGATACAGTATAACCATTGGTTTATAAACCCCATTAACTATAGAATTATAGATATATCACTTATATCACCTATAAACCATAGGTATTATCATAGATTCCATGAAAAAAATCCACAGAAAGTTCCATGCCTCAGGTGGATGCAGCGGGTTTAGAGCAAGTGGCGAAAGTGGAGGAAACCATCCGTGGCTGGACTCGGCGCGGAGTTTGACCACGAAAAGCCTGGGGGAAAGGCTATGAAAACCGATGGTTTCCTTAGGAAAGTGATCTAGAAATAGTGGATGTTCCACCTTTATCTTAGTTTACTGTAGGGTAAAGTATGGTAAAATGGAGAATTCTTGCTTTCATTGATTTGATCTCATCTATAAAAAGGTGATGTTTTCATGGGAAAATTACCTTTAAAGATGGTTTGAACAAACCAACGTTGGGATTCAACGTTGGAAAACATGGTCATTTTCCACGACCAAACCAGTTTGGGATTTGGACGAATAATCGATTAATGGATTTGTCCATGGGGTATACCCCCAAAGTGACGATTCAAATGAGCTATGTTTTTTTTAAATATAAAAGGGTTTATATAGAGTGTAAACTGGATGTTGCTTTTGGTGTGGTTTTACCTGGCTGGCGTAAGGATTGCGTAGGATTGGCGTAGGCATTTTTCAACGTTCCAAATATCTTCTGGTTTGCGTAGGCAACATTTCATTGTATTTCAAATGCTCGTACATGATCGGCGTTGGAATCTCACGCTTTAAAATTGATTCAATGTTATCCACAAGAGGTTCAAAGGCACCGGGTTCATTCATGGATAGTTGTCTATACGAACAAACCGTGGAACTTGCCCGGAAGAGCAGCTATACAAAGGCAGCGGAGCAGCTTAAACCGTCTTGATGTTCTTCGCTTTCCACCTGCTTGTTGCTAGATGGGCCATATTAGCTCTTGCTTAAGAGGAATGTTTCACCAGATTCCTGCCAGGAGGCCCCTGGAACAGGCGTAGGCTTCGCGTAGACTTCGCGTAGGCACCGCGTAGGCTCGGGTGCCCGGACTGACCACCAGCCCACGTCCGCACCAGTCCATATTCGACACATTGAGCCGCCCAGAACTGCCCTTCACCAAGCTAGCGACAGTCGAACACGTCGCTTGGCTTGACTCCAGCCCAGTCAAAATTTACTCTTCAGTGATTTATCATGATTTATCCACCGGATGTTTAGTGTGCGCTTTGGGACCTGGTTGCTGGTGCGGCTGCTGCACATGGGTGTGGCTGCAAGATGTCTATGGGCGCTTTGGAGCCTGGGCGCTCGTGCTGCAAAAATGTGAATGGGACCGTGGTCGCGTAGGCGAAAGTTCCGTTTCCAACCTTCCAAAAGCAAACAGAAGTGTGACGGCGTAGGCAAAAACATACATTGTGGCGTCGCTTTATGCGGGCGTTGGGCCTGCGTAGGCACACCTTCAAAGGGATGAGCCGCGTAGGCTCCCACTGTGGCCGCGTAGGCATTGCGTAGACAGTGGCGTAGGCAGCACAGGAGTAGACGGACCCAGACAACAAAAAAAAACACAGCTCAAATGGGACAGATGATGATAGATTCATTTTTCACTCCTTCGTAGCTGAAAAATAGACCATGAGTTCCATCCACAGATCCACCACATTCACGATAGGGTCTTAAGGGACTTGTTTATTGAAAAGGGGCGATCATCATTAATGTTATTTTGAGAATCCGTCATTACAGGTTCTTTTAATTCGGTTTGGCACACAAATTCAGTGCCTATGAAAAGATTGGGATTTTAGGGATGCAAAACATGTACCCGGGCAGAGTTGGTTAACTGGTTCATCTTTTATACGGTCCTGAGATAGCTAAGTTCCTGTAGAACTCCAATCACTCTACGGTTTACGGCAACGTTTGACAATTCCTAGGATTCTATGTAGATTTTACTATGGTTAATCTATGGGTTAATCTAGGTTAATCTTGTCAATATAGCTGAAATTATTATGATTCATGGTAGATTAATATCATGATATATCTATAGCATTCATGTTTTATTGTTAAAAAATCAACTTCAAACTCGGGCTCCCACCTTTTAGGTACAGTAAGGGCCCGCCTAATTATAAGTTGGTTTTTAACCCCATCTAAACATAATTATGTGCGTAGCATACACTATTGTTATGATAGTTATGTTCACCATCTAACCAACTCAGCTAACGAACTGGGGCCCCATCCTGCATCCATTTCATGATATTTGGCCCAGGTGGAATGAATGGCATTTGCCCAATGCTTCGCTGCAGTTTGTCCAAGAGGTCTGCCGCGAATCGGTTCATGGGCTTCATAGCTGACTGATGATAGCTAAAACTCAGTCGGGGGCCGTCCAATAACTCCAATTTCACTCACTACATGGTTGATAGGTGATATATATATATAGTTATATATACGTATATATATACAATAACTATGGTTTATATCAAAATCTATATAACTCACTAGATGGTTTTTGTTGGTGATATTAATCGAACTAGTCATGGGGTGTTCATCTAAACCAAGCAACATTTCACGAACGAACTTAACGGGGACACCACCTTGTTGAATATGTTGAGCTGCAAAAAACGGTTTGACGGCAGTTAAATCACCCATGAAATAATAGAAATAATAGATGATTCATCCAATATAATAATAGAAAATAATAATAATAGTGATAATAGATGGCAGTTTTAATAATAATCTAGATGGCAGTTTTTTTGAAATCTAGATTAAATTATACCAGAGGGCAATACGAGTGTTGTTCTCTTGGCAGAGGAAACGTTGGATGGTTTGTTCAGTATTTGCGTCTTTGGCCGCAAAAAAACGTTTAACGCCAACTAACCAAAACTTTCACTTGTTTAGGCCGTTAAAGATTGGCAATGATAGGGGATGGAGCTACACACTCAAAAAAAAGAACTCCGACTGATGTACTAATCTGGAATTCGGCAGCTGGAATTGGCAACAAATTTTCTCCAATGCCTCTCTAATGACTGGAAAAGTTTATGGTACATTGATCGGATTTGCTTCGGAGTTGTTCATGTTCTACCATAAAAATCCATAGATTTACTATGATTAAGCATGGTAAGTATATGATGAGCTACAGGTATGGTTAACTAGATAACATAAGAAACTTCCATGGCTAAGCATAGATAACCATAACATACCATAACCAACTGCTATTGGCTAAGCCACTGCTGATGAAGTCACAAATTCCCATGCGCCAGGCCCAAGGAGATCCCATTGGATGAGTTGCTGTCGATGGAAAGTTTTAGTTTGGAGAAGGTCTTGGAAGAGTCTCTTGACAGCTGGTTATGGTTGGTCAATCTTACATGGGAAAATAACCAGCTGGAAGTCTTGGAAAATAACATTCAATGGATCAATGACCAACCAATCTTACATGGGTCATTAGTCATGTCCCCATGGGTCACATCACCCAACCATTAGGAACCATTAGAATGGTATATGGGAAAAATGCCATGGCTACTTTTTCAGGTGATGTCCTTTATATTCCCAAAATGGGACAGTTACCAACCCCTGATCTTACATGGATACAAACGAATCATCTTTAATCCCTAACTGTTGTCTTTTGGTATGGGAATATCTACGTTCACCAGCAAAGAAGTTATTTTTTTGCAGGGTATCTAAGATTGGCAATGTTATGGTCTGTTAACCATACTTGTAGTTAATCATATTAACCATGGTGAATCATAGAAAATCTACGGATGTTTATGGTAGGTATATATATATAGTTAACCAATAGCAGTTGGTTATTTGGTTATGGTTATGGTTAACTATGGAAGTTTCTTATCTTCCAATAACTATCTAGTACCATAAACATCCATATCTGAGGGTGGTTCCCTATGGTCTCTGGACTTGTGGATGTTGATGGTAGATATAATTAACCATAGTTGATCATAGTTAACCATAGTTGGATAAACCAAAGCTGTAAACCATAGTTGGTCAACCAGCGTCATAAGTTATAAACCAGGGAACATGATACAGGGATTTACCACTGACAACCCATTGATATGTAGAACCATAGGGAGTTAACAGTTGTTTTATCACTAATTATTTCACAAGGGGATTTGAAAGCCAGCTGCTGCGGCCAAGACCTTCTGTTTGTTGATTTATGGAAAAAATACAACTATATCTAACTAAATATATATTTATTCTATCACCATGACGTAAAACGCAAGGTGTCCCAGTTCACAAACGCGAAGTTGGGTTTTTTGGGCTTTCTCTGAAGATGTGGTACCCCAAAACCTTGACAATGTCTGAAGGTGAAGCAGATAAACATACGCTCAAAAACCGTGGCCTGTTCTGAAAATCTGTGGGTTGATACTCTGGTTGGTGGTTTGGAACATGACTTTTATGACTTTCCATATCTCGGGAATTTCATCATCCCAACTGACTTTCATATTTTTCAGAGGGGTTGAAACCACCAACCAGTAGTACTTTTCTTAATCCAAGAGTAATTTTGGGATATACCCCTTTCTTGGACAAACAAGCCCATGTAAGTATGCTAAAGTCGGGTTGACAGTGATTCTAACTCCACAGTATACTAGGTCATTAATCATGGGTTAAACGGCCCCCCAAAGATAGCGTTCAGTTGGGGGCCACATAACTCCAATTTCACTAGAGTTTATTATGGTTTATTATACGCAAACAACTACTTAGATGGGCCGTGGAGTTAGTTAACTAGTTAGTAAATCGATTATAATTGGGATATAGGGGGTTATATGGGTTATATCCCCAGTTACTAACCATTTAGCTAATCCCGTGGCCCATCTAAGTATAGTTGTATAGTTTCCATAGGGTTTATAAACCAACACACTGGGGGGCCCCACATTAACAGGGGAAGCCACCTTTTGGGGATTGGGGAAGCTCACCAGCGAGCAACAGGGTCCACTGGGCTCCGCTGACTCTGTCGATGAGTTGTTTTTCAGGTGGGAGCCCCACAATGACGAAACTCATAACCAGATGGTATGTTAAATAACTATATAGCTATATATATATATATATAGATCCCCGCAATTGTTTGATGCAGTTTTATTTCAGAGGAATGGTGAGTACGATTCAAAAAGTACGTCCAAAACATGTCACAATATTCATGAAAAAGGTTTGACCGTTCACATCACCATTTCAAAGTCGGGTGCAGTAGCTCAAGTGAGCAATGTTTTCATCACGCCCAATTTTGCCGTGATTTCGTGCCTCACCGTGCTGTAGCCGACCCTGAAGTTCACATCACAGCTGCAGAGTCCAGTGGGTCAGACGTGACAGTCCCTCCACCCTCGCCGAATGGCGTCGCATTGCAATACAGTGGCGCAAAAAAAACATTGGCAAGATCGCTTCTAAGACTACTAATTTTAGATATTTTCACTTCAGGCACTTAACGGGGATAATAAGTATCTGATAAGCTGCTACTATCCTACTAATATCTTGTTTTAATTGTTGTTTTTTAAATTTATTCTGTGTTGTACATGAAATAACCAAGGTTTCTCTCAGCCAATGCCAGGGGAAAATCCAAGCATGGTGGGTCCCCAAATTTCAGGGACGATCTTACCTGTTGCACCGCGCCATAGCATTTCTATAATGTGGAGCCCCCTAGGTAGCTTAAGTTTGTTTCCATTTTTTGGCTGACTAGGGTGTATGAGGAACGCGAATCTACAGTCAGATAGGTTTTTATATATCAACCAACTTTGAACTAGCGGGCCCCACTTGGGATTCTTTACTGACTTCAAATGTCTTGAACAAGCAAGGTTACTATTGATGACATCCCCACTTTATTGGTTCAATGTCAACACAAAACGACCACTGCTTCGGGTGCTGCAAGGGCTAAGGGACCAGTGTTTCCGGTGTTAAGGCCTTAAATATCAACATAACCCACATATGTTTCCTATGGTGTCTTGGAAATGTTCACTTCTTACACCCAGAAACATCTAATTATTAGATCCACGGCTTCTATAGATTTTAATATGTTATTTTTCTACGAGGTGGTTATGGCCACTTAGATTCATTGGTTTAGTTTCACCCATCGGATATATCATCATATATCTACTATAAACCCATCAGTTAAAAGCTACTCTGGTTGGTGGTTTGGAACCATGGAATTTTATGTTTTTCCGTTCAGTTGGGAATGTCATCATCCCAGCTGTTACTCACTCCATCATTTTTCAGAGGGGTAGGTTGAAACCACCAACCAGATGATACATTAATCATTCCATTAATCATCCCATAATCCTTATATAATCCCTATATAAACCCTATATAATTCCATTAATCATCCTATAATCATCCAAGTTGGGAACAAACAAAGTCATATGAATTGGGAATTTCATCATCCTAACTGACGAAGTCATATTTTTCAGAGGGGTAGGCTATACCACCAACCAGATTATATGGATAGTGTGGAAATTCACCATTTTCAATGGGGATTTATTAAAACTATTTCGACTGGGCCATTTTCAATGGGTGAATCCCTCTGATCCCTGGAATCCCAAGGCTTCAAGAGGATGTGAGCCGCCCCTCTAAGCGCCCCAAGCACGGCGACCACGGGGACCATGGCGACCACGGCCATGGCCACGGCGATGGCCATGGCCACGGGGACCACGGCCATGGCCACGGCGAAGAGACGAAGTTTCGGCATGATACTGGCGTGGGAACTTGCAGTTGCCTGGTGAAAAAAATGGGATAAGAACTAATGTGGTATCTAATCAGGGGTTGAATAGGGGTTTAATGGTATTTAATAGGAAACTTTAATTGATGGGATATAAATGGGATATAAACGGGATAATTTTGGATCAATATTGGCCATCATGGGGTTGTTACTGGGTCAACAACAGCAATATCTACATAATACAGACATATATATATATATTATATTATATTATATTATATATATGGAGTCTCTTGAGTCATGGCGGATCCCCAAGTCACCATGTTTTTTTCAATACTAAAATATTTGGGTATTTGGGGGTAGCCCCATTTTAGGAAAGCTCATTATGATAACCGTGGAAATTTGACGATTCATCGAGGATTTACATGGATTTACCAACAGAAATGGGAACTTGCAGTCACTTGCAGTTGGGTGAAAAGATGGAACGAAGAAGCCTAGGAAATGCTAGTGATCATTGGCAACCAGTGAGCTGACCTTGGTGCAGTTCATCAGTCATGGATACCTCGCTGCGGGTCACCATGTCATGGATACCCCACGGCGGAGAAGCAGCGCTCGCCAGGCTTTGTTTTCCACAAACCTCTGGTGCTGCAAAGATTTACTCAGGCGCAAGCACAGCTTCAGGGGATGGTGATCGAGATAGGGATAGTGATCAGTGATTCACGGAATTCCCATGGGACGGATTATATATATATACATATATATATATATGTACCATAAACTACATGCATGGTACACATGGCACACTCAAACGTATGACCTTATGAAAATCAGACATAATCAGACATTAAAGGTCAAGCTTCATAATCAAACATTAAAGATCGAAGCTTATTATTTCATGGGCAACATAACCCAGCTATGATAACGAGTCAACTAAGTAACCATGTGCATCTAAGTACTTCATTGAATTCGGATCTGTGAAACTATGGGAAAGTCGACATATCCTCTACCTAGACCCTCAGAGCAACCATAAAGTTGTTACTATTTTAGTACAAAAAATGCACGGTTTTATGGGGTTGATGAGGGTTTAAGTATTCAGCCTTGGGGTGCCTAAGGGTCCTAGCCATTTTCATGTTCTGAAATATAACACCCCACAAAAAGGAACTTGTTTCATCACTTCTTCCTTATAACTCTCTTTCTAGTAACCCAACAAAAAAGGTGGAAAGTAATTTACCAACAAAAAATTAGCAAGTGAATCCTTTTTGACTTCCACCTTTTTTAAAAAAATCCATGTTTGAAAAGTATTTGACTTCCCCTTTTTTTAATAGGAATGTCAGGATCCTAAAATGGAGGTACTGTACCATATAAGGCCATATTTTGTGGGGATATTGCCTTACATAGGCCTGAACCATAGGCGTTGTATATGGTAGGTACCTCCAATTGTTCTCGGTTCCTGAAATGGCCACTGATTTTTGGCTGTTTGTTTCGAAAGCGTGGAGCCATGTTTGGTGTGGTCTCCACGGCACGAAGGTCATGAACGCCTTGCGTGCGGAGCATGCCGTGGACCTCTACCGTTACAAGGCGAAGATCGGATGGGGCAGTGCTGGAAAATGAAGAATTAGATAACAGTTTTTTTGGGGGGGATAATCATTTATAAATAATAACTAGTAGAATGATGTGGGTAAAACAATCATAAACCACCCCGTGTTTTGATGGTTGATACCATTTACGATGATTTTGGGCATGGTTTATGATTGTTTTACCCTCATTAAGCCACATCCGATTATCAGTATACCTAGTTGTGTAATCATCCCATGTTATGTTATTGGCTTTTTAATGATTGGATAATCATCCATAACTACAGGATGGGGCCCCCAGTCGAGTTTGCATTCAGTTGCCGAACAGAAAAGTGGCTGAATTCTATGGTTTATGGTAAAAAAACTATAGATAATAACTATATAGGGTTTTACTGGTTGATAAACCAACTTATAACTGGGGGGACCCATCCTGTAGATGATTTCCCTATTGAAAACCTATAGGCGTTCGATTACTGGAGGGTAACTAGAGGATATGGATGTATATGGGATATTGTATTCAGCTGCTTAAACACGAACTAATGATATCCCAATTGGGTAGTTTGAGGGTTCATATTGGTGAAAGTAAACATTGATGGGCCTCAACCCGGGCTTTTGGATTTGTCATGAACTGCCCTTCTTGGAGGTGTTGCTCCAGTTACTGGATGAATAGAACCATACGCAGTTTTTTTGGGGCGCACACATCCCAACTTTGGGAGTTGAAACACCATGGTTATATAGTCATATCAATGGGAATTCCAGGATCCTAAAACGGAGGTACTGTACCATATAAGGCCATATTTTGGAGGGATATCCCCTTACATAGCCGTAGGTACCTCCAATCAATCGGTTCCTGAAATTCCCATTGATCATACCCCATGAAAGCAACCTCAACTGCACCCCCAAGTAATGCCAGTAATGCCATCTCCGGATTCACTAACTCATCGGCTGTTTAGTTGTTGTGGGTATCATTTAAGTACCAAATAGTGTCACTTTTTGAGGTAACTCATTGTGATGGGGTGGTCACTGTTCTCATTTTCATCGTCCATAGACAGGTTGGGACAACACTATGAACGTCCAAATCAGGAATGGTTTTGCCAGGCACTTTGAGACGAGCTCAAGCACATTCAAGCACATGGTCTTCCAAAACATCTTCCTCGAGGTCTGAGAAGAAAGGCTCCTGCAAAAACTCCAGATGGGTGACAATGGCCGTGTCAGCGATGGCGAGTCAGTCGTGAGAAGCAGTTGCAAATCGTTGCAATTGGTCCAGTCTTCCAATTGGAAAGAAATAATTGGAGAAATCGGTTGGTTATTTAAGTGGTTAATTAATATACCCTCCAATTAATTAACCCATTTCTCCAATTTCCTTAATAACCAACCAATTAACCAGTTAACCAATTAATACACCCTCCGGTGCCATCAAACCTGGCTGGAAACTCCCATGAAATCCGCACCTGGCTGGAGGTTTATGGCTGGAAATAAATTAAATAAATTGTCCGTTACAATGTTTGTTTACCGGAGGGTAAATGGCAGTGTGTCAAAACCAATAGTACCCCTGGTTTGTTCACATCAAAATAGCTGGGATTTATGGATATGAATAACCCCCTAAAAATGGTATGAAAATAGGTATTGATCCATACCCAAATTGCAACTAAGGAGTGAAATCATAGTTTTGTCAGGGTTGTTCACGCCCACTATAGGTAAATGATAGCCAGAGAAAATTGGAAAATGTACCTCTCTATCTACCGGCTATCTACCCATTCCACATCCGAGTGTTTGGATCAACGTTTTTTACTTAGTTTTGTGGTCGAACATGGATACAGATTCTCAGTAAGGTCCAAGGCTTCCAAGGTCATAAAGATATAAATCCGATCAGTTTGGGCCTGCGTATGGACCCAGTGAAGCAGTTTCAGACACCCTCAATTCGTGAAACATAAATCAGAAATGATCATAACGAAAAAATATTGGCTGGTTGGTGGTTTGGAACATGTTTCCCATATATTGGGAATAATAACCCCAACTGACGAAGTCATATTTTCAGAGGGGTGGCTCAACCACCAACCAGACATAAACGATCATAACCCAATATTGGGATCTGCATTCACAAACCCTGCTTTTGGGAATTCTTCAACATGTGCTTCATTGTTTGTCACACTGCTAATTTCACGTCACAGCGTGACTTTTAGTACTTCCGTAAAAGATAGAAAATAACATCATCATCATCATCATCATCATCATCATCAATCAATCATCAAATTAGTAAGGCCTTTTGACATGGATGATGTAGATCAGTGGGAAAGTATATATATATTGTGTGTGTGGGTTGCCTTTTGCCTCTGCACGGCCAGGGGGTCGTTTGCATCAAAGAGTCCTCCGGCCTTCTGCGGCGGGCGGTATTGCAAGGGGTGCACGTGCCATGGCAGCCATGATGGATGCCTAGGTATATGGATTATCACCGAAATGGCCAACAATAGGTGGCTTTTTCCCATCCGCAAATGGTAGGTTTGTTATTTGGTTTACCAAATTAGCGATTTTCCCCATTGATATATGGAGATGTAATGAGGATATAGTGCCAGATTGTGGGTTTATATGGTATAATATCGAACAATAAGGGAATATATATATATATATATTTATTTATGGGATGATACTAAGGGTATTATAAGCCAATTTATTTCAGATAAACATTGTAAAGATGAGGGTTGTTTTTGGCCGGATTTTGGCCACCGTTTGCTTAGACAAAGACAAATCCAAATGGTTCCGTAGCATTTCGGCAGGGCCAATACCTCTTGGCTGGTCGGGGCATGCATAGCCATTGCTATTTAACATAAGCAGGCTATCAGATATCAGGGTCTTGATCCATAGCCAAATGGCTCAGAGTGCAAGACTTTGGGAGTTGGTGAGTCCCATATGAATCGCCGTTACTTGACAAATTCCTACAAGATGGGGCCCCTAAGATAGCGTTCAGGTGCCTTATAAATGGCTTAACTATGGTTGATGGATGCTTATGGTAGATATAACGAACTAGTTTTCATGGGGCTTGTTTCATGGTATATCAACCAACGTTCACATGGCTGGGGGGGGCCATCTTGTATCGTTTCTCACAAGAGGAGTTCTCCTATCGAATCTGGGACTGGTGATTCACCGCCTGTCCCGCGCCTTTTTGTGGCCTGTGATAGATTGGTTTATAGCACCCATTGCTTATATGATACTATAGGTATGTTTACCACAAACCAAAGAATTCACCGCAAGTAATGGAAAGGCTAGCTGTCGTTTGCAGGCCACTTATGGCCACGAACAAATTCTCCCACGACATTCCCATCTGGTGGTTTCAAACATTTGGATTATGTTCCATTTCTTTTGTGGGATAATCCCAACCCCATTGACGAACTCCATCATGTTCAAGATGGTTAAAACGCACCACCAACCAGATATACTGATCATCTAGTTAGGACTTACATATGTATACTAATTATATATTTCCCACGACATTCCCATAACATTCCCGTATTGTTGGTTATATCCCCATGAAATCTCCATAGCTCCATATCAAATCCACGTATGAAAAAAACGTGACTTCAATCCACTCCTTCATTCTTTGCGACGACAGTGAAAGCCCTTTACCAGTTTTTTTGGAAAAAAATAAATGTTTTAAATTTATAGCTGATTTATGATAGCTAAGTTGGTGCAAATAACTTCAATTTCACTATGGTGTTTGTTGGTGATATATCGAACTAGTCTGGTTGGTGGTTTGGAACATGGTTTTTACTTTTCCATAATCTATTGGGAATGTCATCATCCCAACTGACGAACTCATATTTTTTCAGAGGGGTAGGTCAACCACCAACCAGTATAAATTGCTATTTCAATGCTTATTTCTATGGGGTGATTATTCCACAGGGTGACATCTCCTGACTTATCTGCCTGGTATTTCAGGCCATCAAGTTGGTTTATAAACCCCATGAAAACTAGTTGGTTATATCTACCATAAACCATAGAATTCAGCCACAGAAATATCTCAACTGAACGCTATCGCTCGACTGGGGGCCCCATCCTGTAGTTATGGATGATTATCCAACCATTAATAAGCCAGTAACATAATATGGGATGATTACACAACTAGGTATACTGATAATCGGATGTGGCTTAAGGAGGGTAAGACAATCATAAACCATCCCCAAAATCATCAGAAATTGTATCAACCATCAAAAAACGGGGTGGTTTATTATTGTTTTAGCCACATTATTCTACTAGTTATGATTTATGGATGATTATCCCATGTATATCTATTATCTAATCATTAATAAGCCAATAATGGGCAGGGTTGCATCCCCAATATGATGATTCCCAATATGATATGGGATGATTATATAATCATCAAACGCGAGCTCGACGCTTCCAACCAGGACATGTGCGAATTTGAACCTCGCGGAGATTGGACGAACTCTCCAACCTTGTCACAGCTGGTAGGGCCTGGGGTGCCGAACGCGGTGGGTTGGAAGGGACAACAAATGAAAATATTATATATATAATCACATTATGTTTTAAACGTTCAAACCTTGTTTTATAATGGTTTTATAACTACAATGCTTTTTTATTACAATGGTTTTTACAATTACAATATGTTTATATATATATGGTTTTAAACGTTTAAAACGTTGTTCTTTATACATGGTTTTAAACGTTCAAACCATGGAATTTAGGGCATGTTCATTTAATCTAAGTTGTGGGTTAGGTAAAATATGAAACCGAGACATAGATGTGGTTAACTAACTCCATGGCCCATCCAAGTATTTTGGGGATCATAGTAACTGCCTCTCTTTACCTTGGTCAATAAGTCTCTTTCTTCGTACGTTATCAAGTTTATAACTGCGGTAGAACCCCACTTACTAACCAGTTACAAAGTCCATGAAAAAGTCTTCCATTTCCCTTAAGTCGTCATTGATCAATCCCCATAATTCCTCAGTTGCCGGCCATCGATCTTCTTCCGAAGCTGCGAAGCTTCAGTTTTTTTCGGAGGTCTTTATCGGCAGAAAGTTGGAGAAAGAGAAGTGGCAGAAGCTCTTTGAGAAGTGTGACCTGGTTGGACCTGGTCGGATGTTGTCTCGGGCTGGACTGGGACTGGGACTAGGACTGGATGTCACCTTAAAAATCCACGGGTTTTTTCCGGGGAAAAGCCCAGTAAATGGAGGATGTTCCAGGAAGATGTTCCAGGAAGTTTGATTACTGGAGGGTAAGCAGCAAAATCATGGATATATTTTGGGGGAGTGGGATTTAGCTGTTTTTTTTTGGGCAAGTAAACATTAAAGATAGAGATTTTTCACTAAGCAAATGGGGAATTCACGATCGAACATTGGGGACAGCAACTGGGGATAGTTGGATACAAATTCCTGGTTGGTGGTTTGGAACATTTTTTTTTCCATGATATATGGGATAATCCTTCCCATTGACTTTCATATTTTTCAGAGGGGTTAAAACCACCAACCAGCTTCATATGTTGCCATAAATGGCGGCAAGATTCACCTCACCAGCTTTTGAACAGATGCGTATCTACGACTGGCAACGCTTTGTGAGGATCAACCACAAACAAGGGGTACAGAACCAGATGCAAGGTTACCCTCTGGTAAACATACAAAAAACTATGGAAAATCACCATGCTATCAATGGGTAAATCAACTATGTCTATGGCCATTTTCAATAGCAAATTGTTAGTTTACCAGGCCGGGAGCCGCAAAAGACGTTGCAGTCTGCCTCACCATTGTTTAGATGTTACTTAAAGAAAATGTTCTCCACAAGAACTGCAATCCGTGAAATCATACGGACCTCCATGATTGGATACCAGCCACTAATCTGGGAACGGTGGTTGGTGGTTTGGAACCATTGAATTTTATGACTTCCCATATATTGAGAATGTCATCATCCCAACTGATGAAGTCCATCATTTTTCAGGAGGATGGGCTCAACCACCAACCAGATTATTAAATCACTAGTAATCATCCCATTCCCATCCATTCCCATCCATTCCCTACTAATCAATGGGAAATCCTGGCTTAGTAGGGATGGAAATGGATGATTACTACTAATGGATGATTACTACTAATTACTAGTTGGTGCTTAGTAGGGAATGGATGGGAATTATAGTGAGTTTTCCCATTAAAAATGGTGATTTTCTATAGCTATGTTAGTTTACCAGAGGGTAAGCACCAATAAGTTATTGGATACCCACCACTAATCAATCCTGGCTGGGAAATCCCACAAGCCGATGGTGGATGTTCCAGCCGCATGTGATGACCGGAGGGTATTCCTAAAGTTTGAATTCCATCATTTTGGGGGGTTTCTATGATTTATATCCCATGATATCCCCATGATATAAGGTGGCTTCACTTCATGATTTATCCATATTTCTTTAATGATGATCTGATATCCCATTGTAAAACACAAGGGGACAACCAAGACCAACGATCACCTTTTCCGAGTGCAAGTAGCCCCCGTAGGTCATGACAGATCCTAAGGCTTTCACCTGGAGCCATTAAGCGGCATTTGCAAGTTCACATCCAAGCTTCCAACTGTACACCGCCAACACTTTATGTTGGATGTGAAAGCCTTTATTAGGCTACGGCAAATGCTAACAAAATTTCGAAATCCGATCGGAGCAACTGGTTTCCATGGTGAGTAAGAGTCCATTTACCCTTGTTACACACAGCCCTAAGGAAATCTCCCTTCATTCTTTTGGTCAGTGCATCGGCAACCATGTTGTTGCCGGCCACCCAACGTGCATGGCCACCGGACTTCTTCAAGTCGTCCTTCAAGATGGCAATGTCGATGGCCGTTCTCTTGTCCTCAGTCTGGGTGTAGGAACATACCAGCTTGTTCATGCAGTCATAGAGGGATCGGGAATCCGTGACAGCTATGTATGGAATGGCTGCCAACTGAGCTTCCCATTGTGAACTATTCAACTGATGTCCAAGGGCCTCCAGAAGTAGGAAGCGGTGCCAGTGTACGGATCCTACTCCGAGCACCATGGATTGGCATTCTGCAGACAGTGTGTTTACTGTCTTTCGCTTCAAACGAGTGGATTTCCAGTTGGCGATCGTGATCATTTGGGGATCTTCTTTGGTCTCAAGATCGGCATCGTAGAACATGGTGATCATGCCTCCTTGACTGCTGGTGTTCAGCAGCTGCAAAAACACTTCATTGATATTCTCGTACTTCAGGAAAGCTCCTTCTGGTTGTTTTGAGAATTTGGTGAAGCCACTCCAAATCATATCCTTGGGATTTTTGATCGAGTCATTCTTGGTCCAGTCGTCCAGGTACGGCTCGTTGGACTCCATGTAGGTACTCCGCTCTGGTAGTAGACTATGAAGATCAGGGCCTCCCGCTGCAGCAGCCGGATGGAACAGAGTATTCCTTGGTGTTCGATGGTGACGAATCCAACATGTTTTCTGCTCCTCCCAGAAATCTTCAGTTGACTCCTCCAGGAATCTTTGCTGTTTGGCGTTTCCCCAAGAAGCATCGGTGATGATGCCTACCCGCAAGTTCTTTGGCTTGATCGGCATTACTCGGATACCAGACTCTGCATGGCGTCGAGCTTCTTGTGCTAAAAGGTTTCCTTCGACCAAGTCCTTCACTCTTGGTGTCGGCATAGCTTGTTGTAGTAGAGCAACTCGTCCTGCAAGGTCAGGTCTGGTCTCCTTAGCAAGCCAGGAGAGGGAACCTAATAGGGTTCTCAACTGACTGATCTCCTCCTCATCGCAAAAGGAGTATCGATGTTTCTTCCTTTCTCGGTTGATGGGAATGTCGGTGATCTTGTCTTTGGCAAAGATGGCCTGATTGATCAGGATGGAGCCGTTCGGGTCCATCTTGATATCTTTGCCGCAGAATCTTCCTTCGTCATACTGAAACTTGCCGAGTTTATATCTCTGCTGGATCTCATTCATTTTGGCGTAGTGGTATTGATCTCCTCCATGAATCATGTCGTCGGTGGCAAGTCCAATGACACCGTGAAGTTTTCTGTCTCCATTGCTATCGGAGAAAAGGAAAAATACACATGGATCAGCCTTGCTCTGAGTATATCCGAGGTCTTCGATCAAGACCCTCCTGATATGATTGAACCATGCGTAGGGACCATCCGTAAGACCGTAACAGGTCTTGAGCAACTTAAGCAACTGTCCTGGGACCAAGCCTGGAACTCCTTCTCGTGGTTGTTCCGCAAAAAGAAGACGTTGGATGGCATCACCTGAGTGGAATGCCTGAGTAAAGTCCAGGAAGCCCAATCGCCAACAAAAACTGGCTATGAGCTGTAGTACCAGGATTGCTGCATCACGTGTGACCTGTGGCGTGGTAGAGTCCAGAAACTCAGACCCCGTTTCACTGAAACCCTTCATGACATGTCTCACTTTTGCTTTTCGTGGCTCTGCAGTATCTCCTTCTAAAAGTAGACCAGCATGTTGGGCTGGTTCAACATCCATAGGTTCCAAAGGTTTGGCGGTCATGACGTATCTGGATTCCATGACCTTGAGAGGATGTTGTTGTCGTACTCGTGCAGACTCTTCCAAGCTAAGTGGTTCGTAGGCTCCAATGGTCAGGTTATTCTCAATCTCCTTCTTCATCGCCTTGCCGAAACATTCTTTGTTGAACTTGCTGAGTTCCTGGAACCGGATCTCCTTGTTCTGCTTCGCCTTCAGAAGATTGTTGACCTTCAACTCGAAGACCTCCAGATATTCGAGTCGGCTCCTCTTGCTAACCGGCTCCTCCTCGATCTCTTCATCGTAGGTTCGCTTTTCTGCTCCAGGTCGGTCGTCATCATGGACGGTTTCCTGTGGAAGAGGTTCTTCAGGAGGATGGTCGCCAGGTTCGATATCACCTTCTTGAAGTCCAGGTTCGCCCTCCATCGGCTCGTCCATCTCTTCCGTCTCGCGGACCATCGTCTTCTGTCGTAGTCGTCGATTCACTGGTGGTAGAGGTCCTTGCCATTGAACTCGTTCAGGTTCTGCAGCAGGTAGAGCTAACTCCTCGGTTGCCGCAATTGATGGCTCATATTCAGAGTCCTTGTCCGCAATCTCAAACTCCTCTTCAGGTGGTAGAGGATCTGAAGTGATGTCGAGAAATCCTCTCTTCGGAGTCTTCTCAAACATGTCTCGAGTATGGACCAGGTCATCGATCCATCCAGTCAAGGTGAGTTGTTCCTCTTCTGAGGCTCTTCGGATCCTTTCTGGGGAAGCCTTCACAAGCTTTCCTTGGTATGCCAGCCACACTGTCGTTGGTTGGTCCAGCATGACGACGCGAGCAGGTCCGTGCCAGTAAGCTGGTGCTGTCTGATGTGCTGCTCCTTGTCCAACTCTCCAGAAGTAGACCATCTCTCCAACTTCGAAATTGGAGAAAGGTCGAGGTCCTGAAGAGATTGCTCTCCTCAAGGCATCTTCACATTCGGTACTGTGGAAGGCTATGGCCGCTGCTTTCCTCATCGCCATGGCTCTGACAACGCCAAGGTCTCCAAGACGTTCCTTGTCACTGATGCTTCGATTGGCTGCATCACCACTCATCATTCCACCAGGAAGCTTCGGGCTGAAGCCAATGACCCTTTGAATGGGCGAGTATCCATTTCTCATCAACAGTCGGTTCTTCTGGTAGTTGACAATGGCCACCAGTTCGCGCCATTCAGCTCGATCTCGACAATCATAAGTTTGCATGGCCTTAGAGAGCATCAGCTTGAATGTCTTTCCAGCCCTCTCGGTGATGCCCCGCTGGTAGGGCGATTCAACAGAGCTTGGGTCGATGTAGGTGCCATCGGTTTCAGCTCTTAAGGCAAAAACGCCTTCGAATTCCCGACCCAAGTCGGAAGCCAAAGTTTGTGGTGGTCCGAAAAATCGGAGCCAGTGTCGATATGCCTCTCTGAGAGAGTTTGGATTCTTGTCAGCCATTGGGATCATCATCTGGAAGTGAGTAGCCCAGTCGATACAGTTCAAAGCTGGTTGCGATTTTCCATTCTCAGTTGGTAGCCAGATGACATCGATTCCAACCACCTCGTTGACATCTAACTCTCGTGGTGGTGCAGCGCGTCTGGCTGGTCGAACCGTACGGTTCCGTTGACATGCCGTGCAGGTAAACTGTCGAGCTGCATCCATCACCTCCTTGTTAGCATTGGAAAAACGAAGAATCCTCAAAAACCGTTCTTTGTGTGGGTGACCCAAACCTTCGTGGGCTCTTTGGATCAATCGGTTCAGGCTCACTGGTCTCTGGCCTGGGAGTCTCTTTCCAGGGTCAGGTGCTTCTCCTTGTCCCGAAGGTTGTTCTTGTCCATGTTGTAGATCATCAGGTTCTTGTTGTACTTGTCCACGTAGTGCTCCATGAGAAGGTTCAGGTAGATCAGGTTGAAGTGGAACAAGATCATGATCGTGAGGTCCTTGTCCAGAATCTCGAAGTCCTTCAGGTCGATGTTCTCGAAGTCGTCCTCGGTCGTGTACTTCATCCGAACGTTGAACTTCCGCTGGATATAGATCCTGGATGTCATTTTTCGGCATCTCTCTCTCTCGTCGACCAAGAGGTCCTCTAGTGAGATCTGGTCGTTGCGGTCCATGGTGTCCTGAGAACTTCTCCGTACGTGGTCCTTCTTCAAGGATATCTTCAAATGGTATGGTTGCTAGGGCCATCCATGTATCCACCCAGGCATTCTCAGCAACGACATCATGGCTACTACGTATACTAAGAGCTTGTTGAATTGATCTTTTGTAGGCCTTGATGATACGTTCTTTGAGGTTTTCTGTGTAAACTTGAGAAAATTTCGATCGGTGTCCTCCAATGATGTGTTCATGTTGATGGCTTTTGTCGCATGGTATGTTCAATGCCTTGGCAATTGTCTCGTTGTTGGTTGCAAAACCTGTTCGTTTCCGATGTAACGAGCCATTCTCGGACTGCAGGCCGGTCATACATTGATCACATCGACTCAGCTGAACTCCTTCCAACTGCAACAGTCGTTTCATATTGACAGTTTTCCATGAGGATGCTGACCAAGGGTGTTCCAAAACAAAAGAAAGGTTGAGCTCAATACAAAGAGTAGCCACGTCGATGGCGAAATTCAAAAGTCGATCAGCAATTCGTTTCTTCTTGAGGTATCTCTCCATGCTCTCAGGTTTCCGGTTTCTGAGTTCCTTCAAGAGGTTTTGTAATTGTGAATACATCTCACAGGGTGGTGAAATCACAGTTAAGCCAGGTTTGGTGTCTCGAATGTACTGCTTCACTTCATCTTGTTTGCAATCATCCAATAGGTCATCACCTAGTTGTAGATCAAACGCAAGTCCATGACTAAGTCCATGTTTGTGCACAGCACGTTGAAAACAACCTGGATTGAAAACCTCTGCTACGACCTTCAGATCCTTGTGAGCTAAGTGCATGGTCTCGGCAATGTCCCGAGTTCGTTTTGTGCCTTTCGGACAGCGAATCAAATCATCCATAAGCTCATGATTCAGGCGGCTGATATGGTCGGAAGTCGTTTGACCATCGACTCCGCAAACTGTGAAAAGGGCCTGAATTTCCTTCCAAAAACTAACTGTCCTTTTTAAGGCATGATGGACCTTTCTCTGGAACTTCGGTCCTACTTCTTGCCTTGAGTGCGTTTCCACTCCATGAATTTCTGGAACTCTGCGAAGTCCTTGGAACTGGTTGATGCCGACGTCGGCTTTTCGGGAGGCGGCTTCTTGGTGATCCAAATCTTCTGGCATAGCTTGCATGTCTTCTTCTCCTGGGCTCCATTGGTGCCCTGTTTCGAGAGACTCTTGTGGGCGCACTTGTCCTGGATCATGGCCGTCAGGATCTCCCGGTGATTCTGCGGGTTGCCCTCCATGTCCTCCTTGTAACGCCAAGCTGTCAAGTCGTCCAGTGGTTGGTTCTCGTACCACTGAAAGAACCGGCATTGTTGTCCCCGAGACTTGGGGCATCGAGCAAAGATCTTGTCCGGGTTGTTCTCGGTGTGCGAGATCCAGGTCTTCGTGTCCAGGTTGCAGTGACATTTGGGTGCTATTCCAATCAGTAGATGTAGTCCTGGGATGTCGCCCACATCGTTCGATGTCATTGTCCTGGATGTAGAAGCCCTCGATGTCGGAGAGAACTCGCGATGGTGAGGAGATCCTCCCATCGACGACAGACCTCCTCGAAGACGACTCCAGCTGGAGTCGCTCATGCCCGACATGTCGTCCATCTCCTCCTCGACATTGTTGCCCGCGCGGCGGATCAAAATCTCCAGCAAGGGTGTCATCTGGTAGATCAGGTAGAGCAGCTTTCGAAGGATGCGCGCCCAAGCGTGTTGGGCACTGAAAACACGCCCCTCTCGTGCTCGCTTGTTCGCTGGGCCCTCCATGTCGAAGAACTGGGTCAGGGAGCGAAGTAGGAGAGTCGAACGCACCACAATCTTGAGCCTTGTCGCCAACTCGCAACTGTGGTCCTGATGAAAGGTCGAAAATCTCAAACTCACTCCTTGCCAAAACTTGTTGAGATGACTTCAAACACCTGAGGACCTCGTCATCAAATTGCATCAATGGAACTCGAAGTGCGCCTGATGGACCTAAATGAATATTGATCTTGCACTTGGGATCATTGAGATGCAGCTGAAGACCTTGTTTCTGGTCTAAAACCAATTGTCCACGAGTTTTCAATAAAAAGGGAAGAGAAATCAAAAATGGTGCATCAATCCCAAAACCGTCATCGAACAGTGCCGGTCGTAAATAACAACCTCGAGGTCCAAGTGCACATGGTATGGCTGCCAATTTGGTAGTGCTGGAAACGCCATGGACACTGCGAAAGGTGTTCTGGGCAGGGATCAAATGAACATGTAATCCATTGGGGAGATGTTTCATCAACTTCAATAAAGTATTCTTTCCAATAGCAAGTCTTTGGCATCCCGTGTCCAGAGTGGCACATGACTCATCAGAAATGCAGGGAGATTTACGAACAACATCACAAAAATAATTTTCAAACATGAACAAACCAGTCTTACTCAGCATGTATTGCTCCGGGGCAGTCAGCTCACAATCCCAAAATGGGTTCTCGAAATCTACGCCCGGCTCTACGTTCCAGCTACTCTCAGAACCTGGAGATGCATTTGTACCAGATGATCTGGTACATGGGTCGTTTGGGGATTTGTACCTGAAAAGGTCATGCCCCCCAAATGAGCGTGAAAAACCGTGAAAATAGCAATCTGTAGTTTGCAGCAGAATTTGCAAGCTTTTGCAGCAACACTGCAGCACTTTTTGCTTTGGACTGGATCAGTCTGAGAAGTTTGATTGTGCTTTGACAAGCTAATATATCTAGGAGCATGAAATGCGCAGGTACTGTACATGTATATATGTGTATATATATACACATATATATATATACATTTATTTATTTATTTAACTAGTGCATGCAGTAAATGTGTGTGTGTGAAGTACACTAGTGGCCAACAGGGGAATGAAGAACATAATTAACAGACAATGACCACAAAAAGAAGATTAGCTATTATAGGGGCCATGCATGATTGAAAACGCCAATTCAACAATATGTGGGTGGACACCAAAACTGGGATTCCATGTTAACAACCCTTAAAAAGTAGAAAACAATATCCTGTGCAAAGTTTGCTTGGGGACATATATTCTTGAGGATTCATATGTAATATCATTATAAATATCTACTGCAAACACCAAAAAATGCTATTTTTGTCGTTCCTTGAGGGTTGCCGCTCGATTTCGCCGGTCGATCATCGCCTTTTTCTAGGGCACATTCGTGCAACAGCTCTATAGGGTTGAAAGGATTTTTCTAATCCATGCAGTTTGGTTGATGCATGCACCATCTTTGCCCATTATCTTTTTTCAGGTATCCAACGTTTAAACTTTCAACAGAAACTTACAGATCATTACAGACAACTTTTTTGGGCTGCATTGATGGCTCCATGCAGCATGATCGATCGAAGGCCAGGATTCATGCCGCGCGTGGACATCTGGTTGATTTTTTTCAAAGTTAAACTCAGGGGTACATTTACTTACACCTGGTAATATGTATTCATTAAATATATATATATATTTATATTCATATGTTGATATATGCAATTTATATCGACCCATCTATATTCTAATGATCTCTACGCACACACATATATATAATATATACAATATATATACATATATATATATATTGGTTGATATAACGTGGGACTTGGAAACATCTGGAACTTTGAAGCGGCTGTGCACTGCCATTTTTGTTTGATACTGTGGATGGAAGAAATCTTGCACCAGTTGGTAATTATTGGGAACTATAAAACACTGCAAATAATGGGATTGTAATGGGTACCATCTACTAACTGGTGCAGGATTTCCTCGATCAACAGTATGGCAACTGCCAAAAAAAAACAACAGAAAGGCTCCTGTGTAAATGAATCTTTGGGTGAATCTTTGGGTGAAATGCTGAGGTGTCAACCCCAAGTGATTGCATAGTTGAAAACATATTCATCTTTTGGGGTAATTAATATACATATATATATATATACTCATCTTTTGGGGTAATTTATATTATGGATTTTAAGGGGATTCTAACCACCTGATCTCCACATCTGAGCCAGCGCCGCCCGTGGCCGTGCCAACTTTCAGACATTCTTTGCCTGGGTTGATCGGCTGGCTGGCAGCCATGAGTTGCAGCAAGGAAAGGGCCCGGGATGAGGACTGCATTCAAAAAATACATTGGAATCTTTTTGAATCCTTCAATATGCCTGCATCATTTTCATGAAATTGTGATGCAATGAAAAATCACATTAGTCGTACAGATTTACTTCCAGGAAAGGACCTCGAGGCGATTGCCATCTCAGAGGGCAACTTGACACATACAATTGGGATTGTTTTCAAAGCCTGAAATCAGTCTTGGGTTTTGATCAGGGACCACGTTCATATGAGTGCATTTCTAAGGCAGCACGACGTCCACAGCCCTACATGGCTCCGACACCGAAAGCAGTTGGAAAAGGTTCATTGGATGAATTCATTCTGTTTCTTTTTGGATTTCTCAATGGATCCCTTTCTGATTGAATTGCATTTTTTATTTGCTTGGGATTTCATATATATGTGATCTAAGGTGCAGCTGGTGCACCACCTCCACCTGGGCGGCCTGACCATCTTAATGTGATGGAAGGATTTCTCGACCGCCATCCTGTGGATGCTGAGATCTCCGATTTGGATGAAACAAGTGGCTCTCCAATTTATGGGTTTTTGTATTTTGAAGTGTGTCCCTGACAGTTATGGGAAGGGATTCAATTTACCAGAAATCCATTAAGGTGATATATATATATAAATATATAACAATGGGTATCTTTAGCTGTGATCTGCATATATGTGAATATATTGTATATATGCACATCTTTGATCATGCAACTGGATCTATTTTTTGGTGATGAACATTTGTGCCAACCAAGGCTTGACTGCATTGGAATATGATCCGCAAGACCCCATCACGGATGTCGAGCGGGCTCTGATCAACACCGGTCGCTAAATTGAAGTTCAGATTTTTTTTCGCAAAAGAAGATTCATGCAAAAAAAGGTTGAATGTTTTGTTGGTCTTTGCCCAGGCCATCATCCCGAGTACATCTCCCGAAAGACCTACAAAGAAGCTTGCAAGATCAGTATGGAAAGGGCGAAACACTGCAGGATGGAAAAGGTGCAGCACATGGCAACTATGAAGAAATTTGTGCCTTGTATTGCAAATAGCCATATTCCACATTTTGGAACTGAAAAATTGACCATATGGAAATCTGATGAGCTGTTGTGAGTTGAAGATGGAATCCTTGTTTGATCTCAGGAAGGAGCGATCAGAAACCTGGAGACCAATTTCTTCCAAAGCCTTGACCTACTGGACAGTATGAGGAATGCATTAGAAAAATATGGCCCTGAAGTTGCTATGAGCTCCCGACCCACTACTGTGCCTGCTAGCCCTGCAGAAGAAGAAGACATATAGATCCTCAGGATGCCCAAAGCTGGATGGCGTTGAAACGCTTTGAATCTGCGTTGTGAAAAAACAAATATGCTGCTGCTCAACACCATGTCAGCTCAGTGAAATCTGATTTGCAAAGCGTTGCATGTGAGATTTATATCTGTCTGCAAAGTTTTGCATT